GCCATGGCGGCGAGGGATCGGAGGGGGGCCGAGGGGAGCTCCGAGGCAGGCGAGATCTGCGGCGGGGGGCGGCGGGGAGGGCTGGGGGTGGGGGTTGGGGGGGGGGGGGGGGGGTGTTCAAGTCGCTGCGCAGATCTGATGCAGCGATGAAACCCTGAGGGAGGGAGGGAGATCTGTTGTGCTGGCGTCGATGCAGAGGAGAGAGATGGAGGGGGGGAGGAGGAGGTTATGAAGGAGGAGGGGGAATGCGAAGGAGAACAGTGATGGTGGCTGGACTGTAAAAATGGAGGATATCGGAGGGGATTATTTGAATGGAGGGAGGGTTGGGTTCCTCTTAAGCTCGGCCATGATAGCCTCGCTGTGGTGTTCTCTCGCGCTCCGAGGGGAGACTCCGGGTTTGGTCAATACCCGACCCGACCCGATCCGATCCGATCCGGCCCATTTTTTTAAAGTACCCATTACTACGTGTGGGGGGCAGATTTACCGGAATCTTTATCGTTTGAGTTGCAGCTTTCCCAAATTTGTTCAAACTTGAAGCCCATTGGCTCTTGGAATCGACCCGGGAATTGCTCGATTTATCAGAGTTACCACAGCGTGCTAGTACTATCCTGTTTATATTTTTTTTTAAGAAAATGTTTTATCCCGTAAAAAGACTATCGCGAATCTAGTTATTGAACGGTTGGAAATTTTATTGAAAACTTAGGCTTCGTTTGTTTCGCGGAAAAAATATTTTCCTCAATTTCTAGCTTTTGGATCGCTTAGGAAAATAAGTCAACGGAAAACTTAAGTTTATAAATTCGGGAAAATGATTTCTTTCCTTGTTAAAAAGTCGATAATCATTTTTCAAAATATAACTAAATATCAACACTTGAATTTAAAACTCTGCGCTTTGACACGAAAACTGTAATGCTCGTTCCCAAGCCCCCAGCATTCGAGCCCCAATCCTCGATGTTCGAGCCCCAATCCCCGATGCCGGGGCTCGAATCCATCAAGCTCGAGCTCGGAACTCTAGTGCCAGTATCCAGGTTGGCGACGCTAGTGCCCGGATCCATCAAGGCCTAGCCTAAGGCCCCGATGCCCCAACGCTCGAGCCCGGTTCCACAAAGGTCGAGCTCGAGACCCTAGTACCCGTGCCCGAGCCCATCGAGGCTAAGGCCCAAGTCCTCAACACTCAAGCCTATATCCGGATCTACCAAGGTAGGGCCCGAGTCCATCGAGGTAGGCCTAGTATTAAGGTCTCAAGCCTGGGCACCAGAGACCCGAGCATGGGCACTATGGTCTTGGGTATGGCCTCAATGGATCTCGACCTGGCCTTTTGGGAATCATGGCTCAGGCACTATAGAAGAGGGCCCGATCATCAGGATTCAAGGCACGGACACTAGCATCCTAGGCTCAACCATGATGATCACAGCTCAATTGTCGAGGACTCAACAACAAGAACCTAGTCTCCAACCTGGCATCTATGATCTCGGGTACCAAGGTTTCGCTGGCACGGGCACTATGGCGAGGCACTAGTGCCTATGCTCTTGCTTGGGATTAGGTGTGAGTATGGTCCAGGCGGGCGGTTCCCAACATGGAACCAGGAACCGCCCACCAAGAACCGGTTCCGATAAATTGGAATCGGAAACCACTCGTTGGTTCCATGGATCCGCCCGGAAACCGAACTGCCGGTTCGGTCCGGTTCCAGGGTAGATCTATGAAACCAATCCCACTAAGTTTCACGCAAATGAAAATGACCAAGAGTGAGAGAGGGAGGCGATGAACGGTTAGAGGCGCGGCCGTGAGTTGATAGGAGTTGAGAGTCGAGCTTTAAAGTAGGTATTTTATGGTTTTCATTTTTCTAAAAATGTTTTCTTTTTTTTTTGGTTGAAATTTTTCTTAAAAATTATATATATTACCAGTTCGGTCCAAGTGGGCGGATCGGCAGTTCCACGCCTAGAACCGGACTTGTCCTCATGGGAACCGTCGGTTTCGGGCTAGTCCGGTCCAGTTCCGAGCAATCCAATCGGTTCCCGGTTCCTTTGTACACCCCTACTTGGGACCCAAGTGCCCGTGCTTGAGTTGAGGTTTATCGAGACTAGACCTGGGATCATGGTGCCCATACTTGGTTCATTGGCTGCCTGTACGTAAGTTATTAGCGCCCAAATAGTGTATGTTAATTTGATTTTCCTTTTCACACAAAAATATATCGTTATTTTTCTAGAAAATGATTTTATGAAAAACATTTCCCAAAAATGTAACATTTTTCAAAAAATGTAACATTTTCTGAGAAACGGACGGAGTCTTAGATGAATTAGACGATAAAATACTTATTCATCTCTAAAAGTGCATAATCCTAAAACGAAAATAACATCAAAAGTAAAAAGATAAAGAAATAAATCAGTTTTCACTCGTCATGTAAATCTAGAAATTTACATGGACATATCTCACACTACTGAGAGCATGAATTAAGAAGATACATCGGGGTAGAAATGGCAGAGAGAGAGAGAGGGGGGGTTAGATATTGTTGATAAGTTAGGACCTTCACATATTAAAATGTGAAAATTTCATAAAGCAAAGAGAAAGTTATGAATAATTACATACACGTATATTCACTTGGGGAATATTAGACGAGGTAACTTGTACCTTTCTATAGGGTAATCTGCATAGGTACAGGGTGGTATGACCCTAACATTGGAATTTACCATGTACTTTCCGACACCGAAACCTTGGAACTTAGAACTTATCTTACAAGTTCTAATACCCATACTGGAACCTACGCAACCTCGTTGGCTCCACAAGGTCCGTAGGTTCCACAGGTTCTCTTGATCGCACCTAGTTAGTGTCGAGGCCATTTCCCAATTTCTTTTGAGTGCTCGTCAGGTTGGATTTCAAGCCCAAAACACTTTGCCCGGGCATCAGCGTGTCTAAATGGGTGTGGATCGACACTATTTGTGCTTCGCCCTATTTGGGTCCAATTAGATGCATTGTTTAGTATCCGTTTAGGGTGCGCATGACAATCATTCTGTGCCCGAGAATTATTTCTACTCAGAAATGATTCTTTTTGATTCTGTGCCCGGAAACAATTTCTGAGCATTTGAAGGCGTTTGGTAATTGTCCAAAATTTCTATTCCTGGGATAGAAAAAAACAGAAATACGTTTGATAACTACACAAAAAAAATTTTTATTAATAATATTTTAAATTGTTTAATATTTTTTTTCTTTTTTTTTCTTTCTACCCTTCCCTTATTTGGCCATGACCGGTCGCCGGTGCCGGCGACGGCCACCGGCCACAGGCCAGGGCGTCGTGGCCCTCGCCGCCTACCTCATCGCCGGCCTCGCCCAAATCAGGCGAGGCCGAGCCTCGCCGTCGTCGCGACGGCGAGGTCGGCTCGCCGTGGGTCGCGACGGCGAGGCTCGGCCTCACCCGATCTGGGCGAGACCGACCTCGCCATGATCGACGGCGAGCCTCCTCGCCCAGGCTGCGAGGGTCCAGCCCTCACCCTCGCTGGCGAGGGCTGTGACGCCCTCGTCGGCCCTAGGCTATGGCCGGTCTCCGGCGGCCAGCCGATCACCGGCGATCGGCCACAGCCCAGGGAAGAACAACACAAAGAAGAAAAGAAAAAAAAGAAAAAGAACTCATTCTCAAAATTGTACCGAGAAACAAGAAGCAACTTTTTTTTACTTCTTGTTTCTCTTTCAAAACTGTTTCTGGGCACAAATTTTTGCAAAAATGTGCCCAGGAACAAAAAGTTTACCAAACGCATTTCTGTTCCCAAACTATTTCTGGGAACAAAAGAACAGAAATTTTCACAGTTTGGCACATTACCAAATGGGCCCTTAGTATTGTCTAGTTCGAACAACGACTCATTTTAGTTCAAAATTAAACTGGTATGCCAATATTGCTTCTAATTCAGATCTAGTCGTGGACTAATTGGATGGATTTCGTCGTTGCTAATGCAATCATCGTGCCTCCATTTTAATGTCTTTTTAGTTCTCAGGTTTTGAGATGATGCATGGAGATCACGGGCAACTTAATATATACAGTTATTTATAAGAAAGTAGAAGAAACGAGATCGATTATCCTTAATGAAAACTCTTCATAGAATTCATCTATTGTTGCCCCCACAGAGAAATTTTGTTTATTTGATCAAGTATTTTAGCTAAGTAATAAAACGTAAATTTCTTTTAATAACTTATGGGCATGAACCTAAATATGCACTTTAACCCAACAAAACAGAAAACGTGGGAAATGTCGACCAGAGGGAGAGATGAGAGTATGTATATTCTTACTTCAGATAAGATAAAAGTCGTAGAAGCTGATCACTAATCGATCTAGAATCAAAACTGAACATAGGAATAGTCAAATTTCACCTGCAAAACAAGACCGTGAGGTTCACATGACCTTAGATCTATGGAGACAAAACTATATATTAAATCTGAGATGATTCCCTAGAAGTTTGGTTCGACCACGAGGTTATTAATATAACGCACGAAGATCATGCAAGAACATGCTAGTTAGACTCTCAAAATCATGGATTAAAGAAATTCACAGCCCCAATCTAGTCGCAATTTCTCATGAATCGTAATCAAAAAGCACTTTTTCGCATTTTTCCTTTTCTTGTCTTTTGCTGAGTGAATCGCTATCGACGAGAGCTGTTGAAAGCATTTCAAGAACATGTCGCCTCCACGTCCCTCGTCCTTCTCGTTCTGTTCCCAGATCTCCGACACGTGTCATTGCATGGCCTACGTGTCAAGTCTTTAACTTCGAGCTCTCTTGCCTTGTCACCAGTACACATGTCATGCCGGCCCGCGAGCGCTCGTTCTCGTCCCGCTTCTATAAAGTGTCACCACGATGTTGCTAGTTGAATACCGTCACATTTAGCTTCCGAATCATAACAACTGAAACTTTGTCTTAGCACAGAGAGAGAGAGAGAGAGAGAGAGAGAGAGAGAGAGAGAGAGAGAGAGAGAGAGAGAGAGAGAGAGAGAGAGAGAGAGAGAGAGAGAGAGAGAGAGAGAGAGAGAGAAGGAAGTCGATGGCGTCGCAGCAGGAAAGACAGGAACTTGACTGCCGTGCAAGGGAGGGAGAGACGGTGGTTCCCGGCGGCACTGGCAGGAAGAGCCTCGAGGCTCAAGAACACCTGGCTGAAGGTGAAACTCTGCCTTTTCTTCTTCCTATCATAATTTGAAGGCGCGCATGGAATCCATTTTGGAGTAGAAATTCTACTCCAGAATGCATTCCGGAACAGAAATGCGTTTGTTAAAAAATTTCCGGAATGCATTCTTGAGCAATTTTTACATTCTGGAATAAAAATGCGTTTGTTAAAAATACTTGATTCCAGAATGCATTCTTGATTCCAGAATGCATTTTTTATTCCAGAATGAGTTTTGGGCAAGAAAAAGAGAAGCTACTTTTTATAGCTTCTCTATTCCAGAATGCATTCTCCCTATTTTCTCTCTTTTTTTCACTAATTTTTTTTTTCAGAAAATGCATAAAAATTGAAAAATTCCAGAAAAATTCATAAAAATTTCCAGAAAATAAAAAAAAGTCAGATTTCGGGAAAATAGGAAATTTGGTGAATTTTTTTCAAAAAATATAAAAAAATCAAAAATTTCAAAACTTCACAGAATGGCTTAGAATACCTTTAGGCACCCACTTTGAGTGAAATTTAATTTTTTTGAGGTGCCCAAAAAAATCAAAAAATCAAAAATTTCAAAACTTCACAAAATGGCTTAGAATACCTTTGGGCACCCACTTTGAGTGAAATTTAATTTTTTTGAGGTGCCCAAAAAAATCAAAATTTTCAAAACTTCACAAAATGGCTTAGAATACCTTTGGGCACCCACTTTAAGTGAAATTTAATTTTTTTGAGTTGCCCAAAAAAATAAAAAAATAAAAATAGATTTCTGTTCCAGAAATCAATTTCTGGAGCAGAATTAGTCATGTTTTATCAATCAGATTTCTCCTCCAAAAATCAATTTCTGGCAAGAATTTCGGAAATCAATTTCTGGCAAAAATTTGATTTCTGGAGCAAAATGGTTACCATTCGCGCCCTAAGTGTCCTTTTTGAGAAATATTTTGGAGGAAAGAAAAGGCTGGTTGTTTCTGTTTATATACTTCCTTTTGGAATTCGGATGGCCTTCGGGTCTTGATTTACATGCACTAACAAGATTTACTGGGAATTATTGCAAACATGAAAATAAATCAGTAAAAATGTCACTTAAATTTTTGTTAGTATATGATAAATTTATACGGGAATATGATTGTAACATGGACGACCCTTTTGTCATTGAAGGTTTAATCTTCGAGGTTGAAATTGGAAAGCCATGTTCGGCCGTTCTTGTAATTAATAGATATATAGAAGTTTTTTTGCCCTACAATGTAGCATATATGTCTTATCATTTGAATGTGCTGAGATCCACTACGTTATTGAGAATTTCATCATATAATGAACTGTGGCATTATATGGTAAGAAACACAGTTAGGGCATAACTATCAAGAAATCTCAAGTGATGAGGTACGTAATGATCCGATGTCTTCAACATGCGGGAAGGAGCAAAGGAGGCCAGACAAGGAAGGAGCAGCTGGGGACGGAAGGGTACCAGGAGATGGGCCGTAAGGGCCAGCTGAGCACCGGCGACAGTCGGGTGGCGAGCGTGCAGCCTGCGAGGGCATTCGGATCGACAGGTCCAAGTTCTGAACCAAGAGCTGAACACTCTCTCTCTCTCGTTAAGTAGGGTTTTTAGTTCGGTGTTTCCTGTTTTTGCGTTCAGGAAGCAATAAATTAGGTTGGTGATAGATGATGGTCGATGCACCCATAGGCGTGTGGGTTTAAACCATGATGTGTACTTGGGAGGATGAATGAATGAGACTTAGGTGCTGCATGAAAACCATTCTGGTTCTGTTCAGAACTGGTTTTTTTGTTCCCAGAATCAGTTTTGGACCAGAAACCCGTTTGGTAACGCAATTTCATTTTTCTATTTCCGGGACAAGTTTGCTTCCAAAACTGATTCTGAAACCAGAAATGAGAACCAAAAAAAAGTTGATTTTTCATTTCTGGAACAAAAGTGAGAACCATTTCCGAGGAATTCATTTTCTTCAACACACATATTCATATGAAAGTCACGATCTTTGAGGTGAGAAAAAAAAAACAGAAAATCAAAAATTTCAAAACTTAACAGAATGGTTTAGAATCTGTGGCTACCCACTTTCAGTGAAATTTAAATTTTTTTAGGTACCGAAAAAAATAAATAAAAATAAATAAAAATAAAAAATTTCAAAATTTCACAAAATGGCTTAGAAAACCTATGGCCACCCACTTTGAGCAAAATTAAATTTTTTTAATTGCCAAAAAACAAAATAAAAAATAATAAAAAATTCTAAAATTTAAAAACTTCACAGAATATTTTAGAATACCAGTGGCCACCCAATTTGAGCGAAATTTTATTTTTTTAGGTGCCGAAAAAAATAAAAAAAGCAAAAAAGCAAAAATTTCAAAACTTCATAGAATGGCTTAGAACACTTGTGGCCATCCACTTTGAGTGAAATTTAAATTTTTTTAGGTGCCGAAAAAATAAAAAAAATAAAAAATTTCAAAACTTCACAGAATAGCTTAAAATATCTGTGGCCACCCACTTTGAGTGAAATTTAAATTTTTTTATATGCCAAAAAAATAAAAATAAGCAAAAAAGTAAAAATTTCAAAACTTTACAGAATGGCTTAAAATACCTGTGGCCACCCACTTTGAGCGAAATTTTATTTTTTTAGTTGCCAAAAAAAATTTAAAAAAAATTAAAAATTAAAAAATTTCAAAACTTCACAAAATGGCTTAGAATACCTGTGGCCATCCACTTTAAGCGAAATTTAAATTTTTTTAGGTGCCGAAAAAAATAAAAAAATAAAAAATAAAAAACTTCACATAATTGCTTAGAATACCTGTGGCCACCCACTTTGAGTGAAATTTAATTTTTTTTAGGTGTCGAAAAAAAATAAAAATAAGCAAAAAAGAAAAATTTTCAAAACTTCACAGAGTGGCTTAGAATACATGTGGCCATCCACTTTGAGTGAAATTTAATTTTCTTTAGGAACCAAAAAAAATAAAAAAAAATAAAATACCATTTGGGCATCTAAAAAAAATTAAATTTTACTCAAAGTGGGTGGCTAGAGGTATTGTAAGTCATTCTGTGAAGTTTTGAAATTTTTGATTTTTTGCTTTTTTTTCACCTCCAAAAATTAAAATTTCACTCAAAGTGGATGGCCACAGGTATTCTAAGCCATTCTGTAAAGTTTTGAAATTTTTGAGTTTTTGAATTTTTTTGGGCACCTTAAAAAATTTAAATTTCACTCAAAGTGGGTGGCCACATGTATTCTAAACTATTCTGTGAAGTTTTGAAATTTTTGATTTTTTGATTTTTTTTGGCACCTAAAAAAAAATTTAAATTTCACTAAAAGTGGGTGGCCACAGGTATTCTAAGCAATTCTGTGAAGTTTTGAAATTTTTGATTTCTTGATTTTTTTTTGAAAAAATTCAACAAATTTCCTATTTTCCCGAAATCTATTTTTTTTTATTTTCTCGACATTTTGATGATTTTTTCTGGAATTTTTCAATTTTTTGGGATTTTCTGAATTTTTTTAAAGGTTTTTATGAATTTTTCGGATTTTTTATTATTTTTATTCCATTTCTAAAAAATGGATTTTTGTTCCTGGAAATAGAATTTTCTATTGTTTATCAAACGGGTTTTTATTTCAGGAAATAGAAATTTTGTGCTGTTATCAAACGGGTTTCTGTTCTAGAAATAGAAATTGTTGGTCGTTATCAAACGGGTTTTTTTTCTCAGAAACTCATCCAGGAACCAGAAATAGAAAAATCTATTTCTGGTTCAGGAACTCATTCCGGAACAGAATGGTTATCATGCGCACCCTTAGTTGCTAGGTGTGTTTGGGCTGCGCATGGCAACCATTCTGTGCCCGGAAACAGATTATGCTCAGAAATAATTCTTTTTTATTCTGTGCCCGGAAACAATTTCTAAGTATTTGAAGGCGTTTGGTAACTGCCCAAAATTTATATTCTTAGAATAGAAAAAAAAAATAGAAATGTGTTTGGTAACTACACAAAATTTCATTTTATTAATAATATTTTGAATTTTTTTAATATTTCTTTCTTTTTTCTTTCTTTTCCTTCTCTTCCTTGGCCAAGGCCGATCGCCAGCGCCGGCGACCGGCCACAGGCCAGGGCTGGCGAGGGCGTCGCGGCCCTCGCCGTCGCCAACCCAGGCTACGGCGAGGTCAAGCCTACCATGGCGACGGCGAGGTCGGCCTCGCCTTGGCTGGGTGAGGCCTCTCCGTCGCGGTCGCGAGCTGCCCTCGCCAGCGGGTGGCGGGCGACAGGCTGAAGAACAACAACAAACCAAAAAAAAGAAGAAAATAAAAAAGAATCAAAAATAGAAAAATTGTTCTAGAATCAAGAAGTTACTTTTTTTTGCTTCTTGATTTTGTTCCAAAACTGATTCTGGGAACAATTTTTGCAAAATTGTGCTCGGGCACAAAAAATTTAACAAACGGATTTCTCCTCCCAAACTGATTCTGGGAACAAAAGAACATAAATTTTTACTATTTGACAAGTTGCCAAACAGGCCCTTGTTGAACTTTGCCCTAAGTTTTTGGACGATGGCATTAGCATCGGCCTGGTTTGCACATATGAGTACAAATTCGAATATACGATCCGATACGTATTTGTTGCGGGGCTGCTGAACAATCTATGTAAGATATGAAATGCATCCATAAAGATAGGAAAAAGGAAAGACTAATTCAATATTTTCTTTGCTGGCCTTATATAAAAATGGATACAGATACGTGCAGGAAGGTTGTCTTTTTTGGGGGAAGAACACTAGAAGTGCCAAAAGTTGTGTACGGCGCTCACTTTGGTGCCAAAAGTTTCAAACGGATCACTTAAGTGCCAAAAGTTGTGAAAAACGATCACTTAAGTGCCACTTCGCCGGAAATCCGACGTGGCATTTTTTTTATTAATTTCTCAAGCTGATGTGGCTCGTTAGAGGCTGATGTGGCATTTCTTTTCTTTTTTTTTCCTTTTCTTTCTTTTTTCCTTTCTTTTCTTTTTTTTCTTCTTATTTCCGATGGCCGGCGTCCGGCCACCGGCCATGGTCCTCGGCCGGGCATCGCCTTCCTCCGGGCGAGGCCCGGCCGAGGCCGCCGTGGCCTCGACCTCGCCTTGGCGAGGCGAGCCCCGACGAGGGCTCGCCTCGCCCGAGATCCGGCGAGGCCGGGCCTCGCCCGGAGGAAGGCGACGCCTCGGCGAGGCCGCCGTGGCCTTGGCCGGGGCTCGCCTCGCCCGGATCCGGCAAGGCCGGGCCTCGCTCGGAGGAAGGCGACGCCTCAGCGAGGCCGCCGTGGCCTTGGCGAGGGCTCGCCTCGCCGGATCTGGCGAGGCGAGCCCTCGCCGAGGCCACGACTGCCTCGCCAGGCCTCGCCCGGAGGAAGGAGACGTCCGGTGAGGCCGGCCCTGGCCGGTGGCTGGCCTCCGGCCACCGGTCATGGTAGAAGAAGAAGAAGAAGAAAGAAAAGAAAAAAGAAAAGAAAGAAAAAAAATCAGAAAAAAATATTTAAAAAATTGAATTATACACGTGGAAATGCCACGTGTCATTAAAATTTAAATATAAAAGCCACGTATTAAATTTGATCGGAATTTCTCGTCGTTGGCACTTAAGTGATCGTTTTTTCTCCGATTTGGCACTTAAGTGATCGCCGGCGTAAACTTTTGGCACTTAAGTGATCCAAATGAAACTTTTGGCACCAAAGTGAGCGTCGTACACAACTTTTGGCATTTCTAGTGTCCTTCCCCCGTCTTTTTTCTATCTTTTCATAGATGTTGGGGTAGTTTTCCATCGCAATGATTTGATTTTCCTAAATAAACATACACTATTCGTGCTAATAACATGTGTCGGAATCGGGTACGGGCATTAGAGAGTCGGGTTTGGCCTCGAATCTCGATTCAGGTTCCCGATCAAGATTCACTTATTTACCAACTATTCTATTGAGTTACCGCTTTTATTTGCTTTATTCAGCAGTCATCTTTTACAAAGTTACCATCTAGTTTTACATTATTAACTCTTATTCGAATTGTTATTAACTCGCCCATCGGTGATTTAAGTGGGGGTCGTAGCGGTGGGATGCTGCGCTAGCCCCCTCGAGGACTAGTCGGGCATCACTGCTGGTTTGAGCCCTAGCTCGCCGGCCGCGCGGACACCTCGGTTATCCAAAAAAAAAAAACTTATTTTATATCTGAAAAAAAAATTCTTTTGTTTTTGGTCACTTTAATTTACCTTTCTCATCAACTCCTTACTTTTAATAATATGGAATTATCAAGCTTTATTTGAATGAATAATCAGCTTCTGTCTCGATTAAGCAAACCCAACTAAGAAGAAAAAAATCAGATAAGCATTGGTAATTAACTCAAATGAGCATTGTTAACTCAAAATTAATTGATAACTCATGCAGAAAAAGTTAATAATCCACTTAAATAAAATTTATTAATTTCATATAAAAATTGATAAATTTAAGGCATAGTTAACGAAGATAAGCGGTAAAGGATAAAAAAAATGAAACAAACAATAAAATTGGGAAGTAACTCATATAAGAGTTGGTTATTCCAAACTAATTATAATTTGATCGGAGAAGAGTATGTAAGCGAATCCAATTAAAGTTGGTATTTTTAACAAGAGTTGGTAAATTTGAGATGTTGTTAAGGAAAAAATAAAAGTTTGTAAACGAAAAGAAAAGCCGACAAGTAAAAAAGAAAAGTAAAAATTGATAACTCATTTGAAAATTTAGTAAATTTGAAAAAAAATAAATGTCGGTAGGTAATTTAATGAGAGTTGCTAGCCTAAACACAATCGACAACTTCATCTTATAAAAGTTGGCAAGTCACTCTAAGGTAGGGGTGAGCGGTTCCCGGTTTGGTCCGGTCCAACCCAAGAACCGGGAACCGGACCGATTCCCAGTTTCTAGGACTGGGGACCGGACCGGCTAGTCTTGGGACTGTGGACCGTGGATCGTGCACCGGACCGATGGTCGGGTGCCGTCCCGTCCGGTTCCAATGGGACCAATATTAAATATTATTTGTGAACCAAGAACCGATTGTTCCGTTCTTTCCTATGAAGTTGTGATTTGATCCCATAAGGCCATGGAAAAAATTGAAAAAATATATATAATATATGAAAAAATTGAACAATCGGTTCCAATGGGACCTATATTAAATATTTTTCATATATATATATGAAAAAATTATAAAAATATATATTTATCGATTCGTTTGGTCAGTCCGGTTCGATCCGGTTCCCACCCTAAAACCGGGAACCGGACCGCTCGGAAACCAGTTCCACTTTTAGGAACTAGGAACCGAATCGATATTCCCGAGAATCGGACCAAACCGGTCGGTCCGGTCCCGGTTTGGGCAGTCCATCTTGTTCATCTTGCTCACCCCTACTCTAAGGGTGGTAATTCCATATAGGAAATGGTAAATTCGAAATACTAGCGAGTGATATAAATAAATGTTGATATCGTGAGTACAAAAATCAATAGCTGCATAAACTATAAAAGGACTGGTTATTTACCAACAAGTTACCTAGAAAGAAGTCACCGCAACCATTTTTTTCACCATCGGTGTTTTGGCACTTGCTACCACTAATTGAAATTTACTAGCTTGGATCCAGAGCAGTGTGGCTAAAATATTACATTTTCATACAAGCAGTTATAACATGGTGATTTGCTAATAGAGTTAATAACTATCTTAAAATTATAAATTGCGTATATACATACATACATATATTCAAATTTTATGTACTTGAGACGGGTTTAGTTTATACATTGTTGAATGTATTAATTACTTATCTCAAATACAATTTTTTATCTGATCTCACCGTCGCGGTTACCTGCAGACTTGTAGTGATTCTGGTTCACCCACGTGTCATTCCTTTTGCACCTGCACTGGCCACGTGTCAGCTTTGTCTTTCCGTGTCCTGCCTCGTCACCTCCACGTGTCTCCATTCCCTTCACCTTCTCTTCCTATGCAAAGGTCGATCCATCGTCACTCGCTCAGCTCCAATCGTCCTTCTGTAGCTTTAAGACTACTCAGCGAGTTCATAGAGAGAGCGACGCAGAGAGAACACACAGAAATGGCGTCGGGCAGCAGAGAGAAGAGCTTGACCGCCGTGCGAGGGAGGGAGAGACGGTGGTTCCCGGCGGCACCGGCGGCAAGAGCCTTGAGGCTCAGGAACACCTCGCTGAAGGTATATCAATGGATGTCGCTTCTGATAAACCTTAATTCTTGACTCTCCTTGTTCTTTCTGTAGACAAGGATACGACACTGTCGGCACACCGTGATCGTGGGTGTCTTCAAGTTTAAGTTTCCATATCGATAACGCGGATCACGACAAGTTATTGTATGGTCCACTGCTACATGATTTATATCCCATGCGATGGTCTTTCATTCCACAGTACAACATTCGAGTCTTTTGATGAACTAAAGATCCCTCTTAACTGACAGAAAGGAGGACAAGTGCACGAGGTTCAACCGAATGATGCTAATAACCTAAGTTAAGGGAGGTTTTAAAGGAAAATGATCACATGTACATGGATTTTGATCAATTTGTTTACAACAGGGAGGAGCAAAGGAGGGCAGACGAGGAAAGAGCAGCTGGGGAAAGAAGGGTACCAGGAGATGGGCCGCAAGGGCGGGCTCAGCACCATCGAGGAGTCCGGCGGAGAGCGCGCCGCTCGCGAGGGCCTCGAGATCGACGAGTCCAAGTTCAGGAACCGGAGCTGAATCATATATCAGCAACTGCACTTAGCTAGGTCCTCCTTTTTTGGGGGTTTGCATGCTTAAGATAATTAGCATATGATCACCAGCATCTGTGTTGTATCGTATGTTGTGAGAAGTTTCGGTGCTGGCGCGGTGTGTGTACAACTAAGCTGGTGTCTGCAGTACGTGTTCGACTGTAAGTATATAGGATGCGTAGTTGTTCTCACTGCTCGGCATTTTGATCTTACTTCTGGAAAGAATATCAAGATAATTTTCGTACATGATCTTTCGACCGATCATTTCATTTCTAGCAAATCAAAATGCGTAAAAATTCAAATAATTAATTTACAGAAATTTTTTTTTATTCAAACAAAAACAGACCTTAAATTTTTTTTTCATTTTGGTTTCTAAATAAGTATTCAAGTTGGAACCTACTCGGATGCAACGGCAGACATGACATCCTCTAGTTTTGGCTCTTTACGCCCTTATTCCACGAAAGATCCATTGAAGAACTAATTTTTTTTTTAGCTCCTTAGCTCCCAATCATATATTATAACGAGGTATTGCTTTCTTCATTCAAGCAGCTCTCACCTAGCCATCTTAATTTTTTATGTCCTTTTGCCGTTTATTTCTTTATTTAATCGTTGGAAGCACCTAAGAGCAACCGGAAGCATCCCATCCATGAATATTATAAAATACACGAACTCATCTAGTAGTGCTTATTAATTAATTGCTAACATTTCAGATTAATCAGTGGTGAGCACTGACGAAACCAGCCAAAGGGGATGTCCCTTTCCCTCTTGACCATTGGGTGCCCGATGCAATGTTTAGTCGTTATTTGTCTGTAGCTATTAGGATCACGTCTCAATTTTTAGTTTTCACTGCACATACTTAATCTGGCGACCTAGAATGACCCCCTTACTCCGTTCGATGCTATTGACATGAGAACGTTATAAGTGAGCCTGCTCCATAACCGAATAAGCAGATCGTTGGAGATCCTATGCGCTGTTATAGTAAACCACGCGGATATCATGGAATAACGCATAATGGATAGATCGCTAGAGATGGGAAAATGGATGGTGAACCCATTTTGTAATTCAGATTCAAATTTAACTAGTGATGATGCGCATGAAATTACTGATGTTTTGAAATGAAAATGTCAGATTCTTCCACTGCAGGTGCTTTGCAATGAAAATTTACCACAATTGATAGGAAAGAAAATTCATGCGCTACCTGCCTCTGAACAAGCTTGGCTTGTTACTGTGGACAGAGATTTATCATAATGATCATAAATATACCTGTGAAAGGTGAGAGACAGAATCACAGATATACGACATCTTGCCCAGAATGGTTGTGGTCTTAGCAGTATCATAGGCGCATCTTAAACCCTTGCAGAAAATATGGAAAACAAACTCCATCTCTCGATCTTAAATTGAACAACAATATCGTATCAACAAAAAGTAGTAGAACGTATCAGACATCCAACGCTTTAACACGGCTACTTCTGGTCGATTTTCCTCTTTTGTGGAGATCTTGTTGATCCAACACTTCCAATACCGTTCCAATGCTCCGCCGCTTGTTTCCGCTTCTCTTGCTTCTTTTTTCATAGTGTCTTCCTCTTGCCCCTGGATGAAAGAAATGGATACTAGCAAATCAAATGTCAAATCTTTACATAACAACTCGTTTACTACCGTAAAGCTGCACCTCTAATCCCACTGTAGTGATATAATTGTGAGATGTGCTCTCTACCTTCTTAGCATTAACCCCACTTTGTTGGGTATAGTAGAAAAATGACTCTGACTACCTTTACCCATCTAGGCTATTAAGAACAAAACAATACTCGAGTTAAAATGACACTTAAAAATATTCAACTTCATGTTCACTTACTTAAAGGTAAGGTTAAACTACCTTTTGAGTGGTGGCATTGTTATGATGCATCTCTGTGACTAGTTGCTTGGTGTCTCTCTGTCTCACTATCTCTTCATCCTGCTCATTTAAGAAAATAAAGTCGAAAAACATTGACACAAACAGAGACTAGAAACACAGAATGAGTAAACCAAACCTTGTTCTTTTGTTTCAATGGATAATTTCCCGAGTTGTGGCCTCGCTTGATGCACAAATGGCATGTGACTTTTGTGCCTTGTCGTGACACTTTGAGTCCATTTTTAGATTCTCCTTCCTCTCTTATCCTTTCCTCGTTAGCCTACCAGGCACAATCTGAGGCGTTGGTGCCACGAAAGGTTCTCTGTCGAATGCCAAAGGATTGCCTCCCAATAGTGATAGTATGTCTTTAAGAAGATATCCTTTCTGTACCAGAGGGAGAAAACTTTCTATCTCCTCCCCTTTGAATAGAATGACACAGATTGCATGAGAGCATGGAATACCACTTAAGTCTCATGCCCTGCAAGAGCAGCAGTTGTTTCTCGAAAACCACAATTAATACTTCAATTCCCGTGCATAGCACAGGCTTTGCAGCTAGTGAAGTACGATACTAGAGATGCAGAAATAAGAGAGACCTCCCAAAGTTTGGACTACAGCATTAGATCAACCTCACAACTGGACAGCTACAGGACTGAGTGCGCATCAGTAGTAGTGCCCAAGTGTTGGGTATACTTTTTACCGAATTGAGCCACCCTCGGCATTCATTCCTTTAAGTGCTACCATCCTGCTGAAATGGTGCACGTTATCAGCTGATGCCAAATGAGCGGACTGATTTTTAAACCTGCAACTGTTAGTACACTTCAGTATCCAATTCGATATCATGCAAGCTTTAATAGACTTTTAACAAATAACATTTCAAGGGAAAAAGAAAGAAGAAAAAAACACGGGCAATTCGTCGAATCAATACAAGTCAAGAAAAGTCCAAGATCAGGAAGTGCACCGAACTAAACTGATCAGAGTGCAACTGGGATGATAAGCAATCTGAGCGCATGAAGACTGCTCCAATTAATGATAAGGGAAAAGACTAATTATTGGACATTAGCTTTTGAAAGATAAATTATGTCAATTGGATCCCAAAATCGCAAGTCGTGAGAGCTGATCCTTCGTTACAAGCTAAAGCAACAACAATTGAGCTTCAATATCCCAAATAGAGCACAATCTTAAATGCACATCACTAGACTCTAGCGAACTTGTCCTTCACAGTTCACACCACAAACATTTGCATATTGGGTTTCAACACAACCTCTATCGTTCTAATAGCAAAATCAACTGCAATAAGATCTCACCTCGCAAAACTTTGATTCCGAGACTTCCAACTACAGTCGATAAATCCATTGCAAGCCAACTGTGAAAGCAGCAAAAGTAAGAACTTATTAACCCAACAAAGTTCAGTAGGCAATACAAGCGATCATTTTTAGGAATATGTTTTCCAAATCATTCATTTTTCGCGAAGCAAACGGACAAAAGAAATTACAAACAGGCAATTCAAATGAAAATCTGGTGATATATCTCAAAAGAGAAAAAGTAGCTTACCTGCTACATGCACTTGTGTTAGGAAATGTGGATTATCTCAACAATTTTGACTCATCCCAGTAGTCTTCTCCAAATTCTATCCTTCCATGATCCAGTCAAACGGCCTTTCTTTCGTAATTTTGATAAAGTCGCGTTCCAAATAATTCTGGTATTGTTTTGAGCGACTTTCATCCAGAATTGTCCAATACCACTAGTTGCTCCAACTTCTTGAGCCCTCGAAACCCAGTCTTTTTCTTGCAATTTTGCACAACTAGATTGATCGAGTTGATACATGATGATGATGTCGACTCCTCAAAGCCCGGGATTTCCCAAAGTTCATGACAATTTAATAGGAACAATTTTCATAAAACAATGAAAATTTGACAAGTTGGGAAATTTTGCTAAGGGCTTACAATCCTCAATCATAAAAAGTTGTGCAGGATGGGAATCTCTCTAGGCCTTCCAAAGGAAGTCCACCAGGGGATGTTTCGAACTTCCAAAGACTCTAATCTATTAAGGCCTTGAATTTCAATTAAGTTTTTGCAATTTTGAGCATTTAATATTTTTAGACCCTCGGATTTTGAAAGGTCCAGCTTTTCAATTGAAATGCATCCAGAGATATTCAGCTCTTTCAAGAAGTCCAACTTCTCAAGGCCTTGAATTCCGACTATATTTTTGCAACTTTGAGCATCTAATATTTTCAGACCCTTGGATTTTGAAATGTCCAACCTTTTAATTGAAGCACACCCAGAGATATTCAACTCTTCCAAGAACTCCAACCTATCAAGGCCTTGAATTTCGACTAAGCTTTTGCAATTTTGAGCATCTAATGTCTTCAGACCCTCGGATTTTGAAAGGTTCAGCCTTTCAATTAAAGTGCACCCAGAGATATTCAACTCTTCCAAGAACTCCAACCTATCAAGGCCTTGAATTTCGACCAAATTATTGCAATTTTCAACATCTAAGATCTCCAAACCCTTGGTTTTTGCAAGGTCCAATCTTTCAATTGAAGCACACCCGGAGATAATCAACACTTTCAAGAACTCCAACCTATTGAGGCATTGAATTTCGACTAATTTTTCGCAACATCCAACATATAATTTCTTCAGGCCCTCAGATTTTGAAAGGTCTAGCCTTTCCATTAATGCGCAATTAAAGATACTCAACTTCTCCAAAAACTCCAACCTATAGAGACCTTGAATTTCGATTAAGTTTTTGCAATTGTTAGCATCTAATATCTCTAAACCCTCGGATTTTGGAAGGTCCAGCATTTTAATTGAAGAACTACCAGAGATATTCAATACTTTCAAGAACTCCATCCTATTAAGGCCTTGAATTTCAACTAATATTTTGCAGCACTGAGCACATAATATCTTTAGACCCTTGGATCTTGAAAGATCCAGCTTTTCAATTGATGCGTGCCCAGAGATTCTTAGCTCTTCCAAGAACTCCAATCTATTGAGGCCTTGTATTTCGACTAACTTTTTGCACCATTCAGCACGTAATTTTTTCAGACCCTTGAATTTTGAAAGATCCAACCTCTCAATTAACCCACACCTAGAGATATCCAGCTCTTCCAAGAACTCCAACCTATCGAGGCCTTGAATTTCGACTAATTTTATGCATCCATCAACATGTATTTTCTTAATGCTCTCGGATTTTAGAAGGTCCAACCTTTCAATGGAAGCGCACCTAAAGATACTTAGCACTTCTAAGAACTTCAACCTATCGAGGCTTTGAACTTTGACTAATTTTCCGCACCATCCAGCATATAATGTCCTTAGACCCTCGAATTTTGAAAGGTCAAGGATTTCAATTGAAGCACAATGATAGATATATAGCTCTTTTAAGGACTCCACACCTTGAATTTCAACTAAGTTTTTGCAAGAATGAACATATAATTTCTTCATGCCCATGGATTTTGGAAGATCCAGCCTTTCAATTGAAGTGCACTGAGAGATGAGCAGCTCTTGCAAGAACTCCAACCTATTAAGGCCTTGAAGATCTACTAAGTTTTTGCAATTTTCAACATGTAATTTCTTCACACCCTCGGATTTAGAGAGATCCAGCCTTTCAATCGAATCGCACCTTATGGTGGTCAAGCTTTCCAAATATTTTAACTTGTCAAGACCTCGAACTTCAAGTATATTATTGCAATCCTGGGCAAATAATGTTCTCAGATGGCTAAATAGTGAAACGTCCAGTGTTTCCATGAGCTTGCAGCCACATATTGCCAAGATTTCCAACTTGAAGGGAGTGTTTAGGGATTTCTGTAATTTTGATTTTTCAACATCCACCAATTGGGAGCATTCTGAAAGCTCCAATAGTGTTGACGGAAGCTCCAAGATACACTCGAGAAATTTGCAATCAAGAAGATGTAGCTCCTTGAGATGGGTCAGATGGGAAAGTGAAGGCAATCTGAGACTTTGACAAGTGACGCTCAAATATGTCAAGTTGGAAGGAAGCTCCGGCAGTGATTGGACCTCCGACAGCCATGGGAACTCCTCCCTACCATGAGAAAGAAAAAATTGCTCGAAAGAAAGATTATGGATGCATTCTGACATTTCCTCTTCCGGTTTTATGCACCATGAAACATCTAAATGTCGGAGCTTTCTCAGCCTTCTAATACCATTGGGTAGTTCTTTTATCCGCGTGCCACTAATGTTTAGAATTTCTAGATTCTGCAAATCCCCTATGTTGTCTGGTAATACAGAAAAGTTTTGACAATTTTTTAGAAGGAGTTGCTCCAGCGCTTCTAATTTATCCACTTCCGTTGGCAGCTCCTTGAGGCCCCAACACCCCGTCAAGTCCAAGCGTACCAGACTCTTCATCTCTCCAATTGAAGAGTCAATTTGCTCCAGTTTCCGACAATTTCGGAGGATCAACACCTCTAAAATCTTAAAAGCTGAGAGGAAGAAAGTTCCTTCTAAAGATTGACAATTTGTAAGGTCAAGATATTTTAGCTTCTTTGCCATCTGGTAGAAAATATAAGAAGTGTCCAGGGATTAGCTCGAAGTGATTATGATTGAACATATTGCAAAATAAAAAAGGGCGAGTACTTCCATCTTACCATGATGGAACTCCATCCTCGCCATTCTTGTGAAATCTTGCTTGCAGATAAATCGAGTGCAAGTAATTCCTTTGCATGAAAATTGTTTGCTTCAAAAGTCAGGGGACAATTCCACCATCGAAGCCATCTTAACTCATCAATTGAGTTCTTAAAATCTCCCCTAAAATGTGCCCCACTCATGTGAAGGAACCTTAGACTCGTTAAATTCTTGAATTGCTCGTCTGTGGGGAAATCGCCACTTTGGCCAACTGTTTTGCCAGATCCTTCTGAGTTGCCTTTGCTAAGATAAATGGCCTTAATCTTTTCTGTTCCCTATATATAAGAATTAATTTTCATTACTACCATTTATATCCACCTCAAGTAATCTAATATCATTTGTTCATATTAGTATTGAAATGCATCGATGTCTTTTACCGACTAGCAAAGTGAAGATGTGATTTTCTTTTTCGGCCCATAAACAGTATTTGTAAAGGATCCAACATGCAAAAGACTGGTCTCCTCTTTTGAAATTTTAAAGTTGTGTTATTTTTGTCTCATGTGCAAAAGATTGTGCTTTTAATATTTGGCTGTATACTTTTTGTCCCAGGTCCAAAAGGTTGTGCTTTTTATTTTTGTCTCATGTGCAAGAGTGAGCTATATGAATGTGTTTCAATTATGATTTGAATGTCTTTCATTTCTGGTTTATTTTGTAGATTGTCCTAGTGCTCTTTTCCATGCTTCGTACTTCACATGGGATTTCTTTATCAAGGTTGACTGTATTTTTAGATGACACATATTTTAGATATTTTGATTAAATGAAGGAATAAACTCAAAAGAAGCTCTTGTGTCAGTTTTATGAAAACCACTTTGATTTCGACTTACGATAGTACTATGAATAAAGAAGCAAAATGAGCCCAGCAAACATAGTGAAATAATTACATCAAATAATGTACCTTTTTAGCTGTAAAAGTTAGTAATGCCAAATTATTGAGACAAAAAATTTTACAGCATATTCATTTTTGTTTAGGTTTAGTTTAGTTTATTTCACGATGCTGTACGAAAGACATAATATATAGACATTGACTTTGAATTTGTTAATATATGAATTGGCTCATGAGATTATAGATAGGTTGCACGTTGAAAATGCTAATAAGCGGTAGTCTTTTGAGCAACAACTATGGGTCCAACCAAATGATGGATTCAAAGTAAGAGAGTCGAAATTATGATTAATTTCACGAACACAATACAATCACATACTTAATTATATACCAAACAGAATTTTAGAGCATTCATCTCTGGGACCTTTTATGTGGAAAAAATAAGACATTTCTCTTTTTAATGGTCATTTCATTGAATACGCTTAATCTTATGCATATCTATATATGTTCCTGTTCTATCATGTGAATTCTGGTAAAGGAATTCCTAACTTAATATTACATACAATAAGTACCCCTGTACGCTTGTTTAAAAAAAAAATCTTAGATAAGCTGCAATACAAGAGAGAGCAACCTCTTACTTTCAAGTCACATCAATGAAATAACATGAGGGCAATTATATAAGAAGGTTCTCTGTTCACCATAGCAAGCATCGAGTAGGGGCCAACGTCACTCTATCAATTGAACATGGACTGAGGGAGCAAAAGAAGAGAAACGGTTACCTTATTTCCCTTTAGCACTTTCAAGACTTCCTTCGAGTCCCATAACCTGCTACGGTACTGAGGCTCCAGCTTGTTTTCCTCGCGGACAATTTCTCTACCCAGATCTCTCAATTGGTCATGCATTATGAGCTCGTGATTATCTCCAACTTTTATTAATGACATAAATCTCAAAACTTCAATTCCCTCCTCTGGGAAAAAGTCACAGGCATCCCACATGTAGGATGCGATTCTTTCGTCAGTGCCAATGAAAAAACAAGCAATATCCAAAAATATTTGTTTTTGTGTATACTCTAAAGCTTCGTAACTAATCTTTAGCTTGTCTCGCACTTTCTTATGAGGGACTTTTCTTAACTTGTTTATCGTACTTCTCCATAGTGTCGGCTCTTTTGCGCACAAAAATGAACCTAAAACCTCGAGAATTAAGGGAAGCCCTCTGGTGGTGGATACAACATCATGAGTGAGGTCCTCAAATTCACTTGGGGGAGAGTCCCTTCGAAATGCATGTCTACTAAACAGAATCAAGGATTTATCCTCATCCATTTCTTCATGTTCATAGTTGTAGTCCACCCAAGCATTGACAAGAATACTCTTGTTTCTTGTGGTAACGATGATCCTACTTCCCGAAGAAAACCAATCACGATTTCCAGCCAAAGCCTTCAACTGATCATCATTATCCACATCATCAAGAACAATAAGGACTTTCTTAGTTCCAAACTTGGATGAGATGAACTCGATCCCTTCATCCTTATTATCAACTTGATTTTTTTGCTTCAATACATCAGAGATTAACTGATTCTGCAAGTACGCTAGGCCATTATGCTTATAGGATTCCCTGATATCAGCAATGAAGCTACGATACTCGAATTGATTGGAGAGTTTCTTGTAGATGGTTTTAGCAAGAGTTGTCTTACCAATGCCTTCTATTCCATGGATGCCAACAAATAGGGTGGCACGAGAATTATTATCTACAAATTCCATAACTTTCTCCACGTGACTATCAATTCCGACCAAATTCTCAGGATTAACCAACTCAAACTTTTTCTTCAACTCGCTCAACACTTTTCGGATAATCGATTTCACCAATTCTCCTTCATACCTGTCAAATGTGACAAAAGTTCAAATATGCGGCAATGGTAATTTTATATAGCTTATCTAATGAGGAGAAAGTAATAAATATATCTAAGGATAAATCGAAAAACTTTAATAATTGCTTTTGTCACACCTCCATATTCTTTTATATGCTAAGACTAAAGTGGTAAATGATGATGGTTGCTTCACATAGGAAGCCCCGTTCCATCATTACTCCGACATAATTTATTGAGCCAGAAGAAACTTGAGGGTATCACTAATTAAACTTGTTTTTTTTATTAAAGACATTAGGAATGATGTGGACGTGAATTTGAAAACTTTCTAGAGCGTTTGAATGAGAAAAAAATACAATAAGCCAGTCCAGTGCGAAAGTTCAACCATCAATCGATAAACAGGCCATAACTTTTGGTGCAAAAGCATTTCAGGTCCTGTAATACCAATCCGAAAAGTTGTTTAGAGCGCTAAATTGTGAACTATCGGAATACAATCGAGGGGATTTCTCCTTATTTGCGCAATTCTACACACTTCAAAGTTTCCACTCGTGTTGTGAATCTAGTATCATTCAAGATTCACATGCTTATCAACTTTCATTGCGTCGAGGGAGGATAAAAGTTGGTACTTTATTTTCTTTTGAGTATCTATTTTCTATGATTTTAATTAATCTGACATTGATTTTATTGGAAGTAGAAGAACAATTTTACCCCAAAATAAAAACATTGCTTCGATTTATGCAGGTGTATGAGATAGAAATTTTGTGTTGAAGACAGAAAAATGCATTGAAAATTGTTGAAACAAACATCTAATAAAGATAATCCCTTTTCCTTTTATATATTTACCATCACCATATACACCCAATGACATATTTCTTTCGCGAAAAAATTTTAGTAACAACTACTTGACGACATTAATGATTTAATGAATGTAACTTGGGAAGATAAAGAATTATGGCTTCGACAATAGCAGGCACGGTATATGATGTTAAGAGCTTTGAATAGGAACCACCAATAAGTTGTACTTCTAATCTCAGATAAATATGTAATTAGAAAAAAAAAATGTCGTGATGAAGATTAATGAAGCTTATACTATAAACATGAAAAAAGAAAAATTTTGGATCTAAGAGTAAAAGTTCATTTAAAAAAATCTTGAATGGGATCATTAACAACAACCAATCTAATTATAGATTGGTTAATTCTAGATAAAAAGGAATTGATTTTTAGAACTCATGCATAGCACGATTTTATTGCTTTTTTATTTAAAAAAATAAAAAAGAAAATGAAGTAGTTAGGAATCAAAACCACCAGTAAACACCCGCACAAGTTAGTAGAGAACATTTGGTGAAAAATTTACCCGTTGGCTTCCCATCCTTTCAATGAACCGACTTCATTGAGTGCTTGCTTCCACTTCTCCAAAATCGTTGGGTCCGAATGCCTCTCATGCGTATGAAATGCGTCTCCAAAACTCCCGATTTGATGTCGCACGTGAGCCGGTTCCACTTTGTAGAATATAGGCAATATTACATGCCCCGTGTCATTATTCTTGCACTCCATCATTTGAACCAGCTCGTCGAGGCACCGTTTGCTCGAACCATAATTCTCGGAGAGAACGGGGATCAGGATCTTGCTGTTCTTGATGGCCGCCAAAAGATCTGGGCCGATCTCCTCGACTTGGCGAAGGAGCTCGTTGTCGTCATCTCTGAAAGCACAAATTCCGACACCAACGAGCCCGGTGTAGAGACGATCGATGAAGCCTTTTCCAGTATCCGAGCCTCTAGAGCTCAGGAACACCTCGTAGCAGTTTCCGGTCGGTGCGGTCGACAAATTAGGTGCACCATTATTAGTTTCCGTCGGAGGCGAACCAGGTCCACCGGAATGAGTTCCTGTCGGCTCGGTCATCGAACTATCAGCATCTTCTGCAGTTCCACGCACACTGACTCTGCGTTTCTTAATGGGAAGATGCATGTCTCCTTTGCTCCGACTCTACCCTTAGCTTTTTTCCTTTCTCGAGCCTGACGGCGAAGCAGAAACCAAAATGCCTCTTTAGGTTTATACGAAACGCGGGATGGCAACCAGAGTCGCACCAACAAGTCAAACTTGTCAAGCGAGATATAAATTAGTTAATTAATTGACACCACGCGCTTGTACTCGACGCGGAAGCAATGGAAAGAAACAAAGCTTACGTATGGCTGAGCACCCGGCTCGGGTTAAACCGGGAACCGGACCAAACCGGCCGGTTTCGGATGGTCCTAACCGGTCCGGTTCTGGTTACTCCTGCGGAACCGGTCCGGAGGCAAACCTTAATGAAAGTCGAGGAGGAGCGCCGGGCAAAGCAGATCGACGGCCCGTCCCTCCCAAATGCACCGCTCCCTCGTCCCGCTTCGCCGCCTCCCTCTGCCCAGTTCCTCGCGTGCGCGCTTTTTTTCCCCCCAAACGCTCCGCTCCCCTCGTCTGCTTCGCGGAGCCTCGCGCGGAGCAAAAATTTGAAAATTTAAGGAGAAAACGGAGATCGGAAGAAGCTGGAGGCGGGTGCTTTTCCAGCTCACAAGCCCAGATTACGGCCAAACGGAAGCTGGGCGAGTTAAAAGATCCAAAAGGGTCCTCTGGTTTCTCCTTCGTTTCTGCAGAAGAGCCTTTTTTCAACTTGTGCAAAGAGCTGTGTATGTGAGAGAAGTGAGAGAGAGAGAGAGGGAGAGGAATCTGATGTCGGGGCTTTCAATTCATGTTTAATTATAATTGTAATTACGCTCTCATTTGGATTTGGCTTATCTGATTGTTTTGACCGTATTATCCCTTTGCACAGCCAATCATCATCGTCTTCTTTTCATTTTGGTAATAATGCGCTGTCCTCCTTTTTTTCTTTCTGTCCTTTTCTTTCCTCGCGAGTCCCACGTTCCTTTTTCTTCTTTTATCTTTCCACGCCTTTAGTGTTCCACTAACGATTGTGTCCCTTGTCCGTTCCCATTGTGAAGATGACAGGAATAATTTTTGAATTTTGATTTAATATGTAATTTAATTTTTAAAATTTTAATTTATTTAATATAGTTCATGAAACTTTAACTTAATGGAAGGACTACATTGAATATTTTCAAATAGATCGGGGACTAAATTGAATATGTACTAAAAGTCCAGGGATCACATTGAACAGATTAAAAGTTCAGGGACTAAATTGAATATTAGGCTAAAGTTCAGGGACCACATTGAACAAATTAAAAATTCATGGACTAAATTACACATTAAATCAAAATTCAGAGACTGTTTATGTCATTATCTCATTCTCTATTTTTTTTCTGCTTGAAACACGCCTTTTGGTGTCTCGGTTCTCTCCCATTTTTTTCTCTCAAAAAAACACTCAAACGCAATGCTAAGTTGAATGCTTCCTGCCGGTCCCTACCAAAAAGCACAAAAGGACGAGCAAATTATGAGGCTAAATGTCAAATAAACTTGTTGGTGTTACTGTTTGCTCCTCGCCAATCGCAACCTCTTCATCAGCACCATTCTTCGTCTGTCATTTGTTTATACAAACTAGCAAATGGTAAATGTCGTGTGGGGGCCCTTTTCCGTTTGGTTCTGCGAATGTCATTGCCAGCTTGAGTCTAACGCGTTTACTACTTTTAGTGCTTCGACTTTTCATCAAATATGCGGAACTTTTGGCTCAATCTCTCTTCCATAAATCCTCCTTCTTGAGTCTAAACTTTGCTCCAAAAGGCTTTGTCCGAAGCGAAATATCGAAAAAGAGGGAATAGCGAGGGATAGATAAGAACAAGAAGAAGAAAAGTGGACTCGCGAGGAAAGAAAAGGTATAAATAAATAAGAGACACGTCTACGAAATACAAAAAGATGTGAATAATACTAAAAGGTAGGCCGCGTAAGGGACAATAGGGTCGAAACCTATGATAAGGAGTGTCTAAGCCAAATGAGAAGTATAAAAAACGCGGCCCTAATTACAATGGCATGCCCTTTTTATCGACTTTTCTCTTTTCGGTTTTGTTTAAAGCTGTGCCATGTGTGAGAGTATGTATTGAACAAGGAAAGTTGAAAGTAGCTTGCCCCTTGCCAGTAAGCCATCTGCAAAATTTTTATACCAAAAAAAAAAAAAAAAGGTTGCGCCCGGAACTATTCGGTCCGGGAACCAATCCACTACGGAACAAGTGATCAAAATAGTTAAATATATACAAGCGTCGGTACTGTGGAGTCAATAATTTGCTTGGCAAATTAAAAATAAAAAGTGCGGGGTTCGTACTTTTTTAAAGCACAAAAATGTATAAATTTGTAGAGAACCATGTATAAGATTGCACCTAGTAATATCGTACCCAAAATCACATAAGTAATATGAAGTAGACGATGTATTGATTTAGTCATCTCGTGATGAAATGAATAGCTGTTTCGGACGGAAATGAATCACTTTCGTGAGTAGGCGATTGTCCACTTATAAGATGTAAATTCATTGAGTGGTGTGGAGGAGTGGTGGTTTGTAGGAGCTGAGATTAAAGTGGATAGAAACCAAGTCTATGACTTCTTGAATGATGGTTTAAGCCGACACTTTGGATTATTCAAGATATGCTAGGAAACAACTGCTTATGAGAATTGCTTTCTAGAGGTGATTCATTTGGAAAAAAGCTAGGAACGGGAAGCGTTTTAATGGGCAGGAGACAGGCCTTAGTGGAGTTGTCCCTATAGGCCAGACAGAGCTTTTCGAGGAGTTTGGAAGGCTTTCAAAAGCTTGTGCCTGTGTTGTGAAGCCCAAGTCCAGTAAAGTAGAAGCAGACCCTTGGGCAAAAAACCCACCAAGGGAGATTGGGTTAAGCTCCATTGCGATGGTGCCTACATGTTAAGGAGACTCCTGGTGCTGCAACAAACATTGTGGCAACTGGCAAGGAGACTCGAATGGAGAGCTGGTGGGAGGAGCTGGAATGTCTCTGATTGCTGAACAACCCCCAGCGTGGTTGAAGCCTGTGGCTGTCTGGCGGGCCATATTGATTGCAGGAGGACCGGGACAATGTTTGAGACGAGACATGTCATGGAAGAGAGAAAAACGTGATCTTCTGTATATGTCAAATGAAGAGTGCAAGGACCCCTATATGTAGGGCGAGAATGTAATTAGACTTAATAACAATTAGTATCAGCTTCAATTAATCTAATCCAAAATAGTAATATATCTCCGACAGCTGCTGGTTTCGCAACTAATCGTGACATTGTTTGTAAGGAGTTGGTTAAGCAGAAAGGCAAATTGAATTGGATTACAAGACTCATTGTTGAACAGATGAAAATGGAGATCGTTTCGTTCCATAAAGTAGAGTTTTTTTTGTTTCTTAGGGAAGTTATGTACGTGTGTTCATCGGGTAGTTTCTACGATTAGAAAGTAGGTGTGTCCTGTGGATTGGGTTTGGAATCCCCATCTTCTGCAAAAGCTCCGTTTGTGTCTGATGTTGCGAAAAGACCTCCATGTACAAATTTTATAACAGAGACGTATATAAAACTTTAGTCAAAAGGTTCTTGTGCTCTATTGTGATGATACATTATTTTAAAAGACAATAAAGAAGCAAGTGCTAAATTTATGTCTCGAGTTTAAACTTATTTACGAAACCCGATTTGATTGGAAGATGTATACAGGAATTCTTGATTGAATGTTTGTTTGAGTCTTGCTGGTAGAGTCCAACCAAGATAAGGCTTTTTAATTTGCTTTAACTATTCTCTTTTGGAACAGTGGCAAATTCGTAAATATCCTAGTTTGACCAAGATAAATACTTGGACTTCTGTTATTGCTGAGAAGGGAGAGCGAAGGCTTTTGGCCATAGAAAGAAGTGGGGCCCAGGGGGGGTAAATTAGAGGAAAGAAAACAAAAGAGAAATATGGATTGGCTTAGCCCTAGGTCGTCCTTTCCTTTGAAGCCACAGCCGCATAGTGAAGGTAGAGTGGGCTCCATCGGCGAGAGTCGTAACCGCACAGCAAGGGAGGATTTCGAGGATGCCGCACAGGGAACTCCACAAAGTCGTAAGTTGAGTTTCTTTTACTTGGCCGTGGGCAGAGCTGAAATATCCGACGTGGAAAATATTTGGGTATATGAACAATTATAATTCTGATTTTTTTATTATAGTGAATTATTTATTGTTGACTCCTCCCGTAAATATAGGTACTAACACTCAGATTAAGTCACGTAAAACTTTAGTGTCCTTTTATTGTTTATCGTTTATTTGTTCGATGTTTTTGCGTTGACTTGAATTGCAGGATTCTATTTAGCTTCCGCATTAAAATTACAACAATTGATATCAAAGCTAAGGATAGGATTTCCTGGATTTTGATTTGGGGCTTTTGCTTATCTGATTATTATCTAGAAATTCTGTTGTTGTAATTATATCTAGAGGGAAAGTAGAAATTGAGAAGTTTTACGGGAGGAACGACTTTGGGTTATGAAATGTAAAGATGAAGGCGCTATTAACAACTCTAAGTTTGGCCAAAACATTGGAAAGCAATTGAGCAATCGATTGTACATGTTGAAAAGATTATTTCAGTTTAGATGCTTTCATGGCTAGTTAGGACTATTCGAAAAGTCAGATGAATAGATGTATTTACTTTAAGAGACTGCAGGATAGGTCTTTGATTTATCTGTTATTATATGTTGATGACATGTTGATATCAGTTAAAAATATGTCTGATATTGATGTGCTGAAGCGGCAATTGAGTGCTGAGTTTGAGATAAAAGATTTAGGTGTTGCTAATAAAACATTGGATATGGAAATTTTGAGTGACAGAACTACATGAGTTTTACATTTGTCTCAATAGAAATATATTGAGAAGATTGTGATATGTTTTAACTTGCATTTAGCGAAATCTCTGAGTACACATTTAGTGAAGCACTTTAAAAGTTATCACCGCAAACTAAGGAGGATGAGGAACATATGTCTCGTGTTCTTTACTCTAGTGTAGTGGATAGTATTATGTAGGCTATGGTATATCACGAGCTGTGAGCATAGTTAGCCATTACATGAAATGTCCTGGTAAAACTCATTAGGAAGTTGTGAAGGTTATCCTCAAATATTTGAGAGGACAACAAACGTTGGTATAGTGTACCAGAGGAATAACAATGGCAGTAAGACTACAGAGTATGTGGATTTGGATCACGGTAGTGACTTGGATAAGTGGAGATCTTTAGTAAGGTACTTGTTTAAGCTTGTAGGTGGTGCTATTAGTTGGAAAGCATCCTTACAGAACCATGTTGCCTTGTCTTCAACCGAGACCGAGTACATGACACTAACCTTTATAGCGAATGAGGCGATATGGCTAAGGGGTTTGCTCTTGGATTTTGGGTTGGAACAGAAAAGTGTTAATATATATCGTGATAACTAAGGTGCGATATATCTGACATATAATCCAGTCCATCACTAGCGAATGAAGCATATCAACATAAGGTACCACTTCATTCTAGATATCTTAGTGAAGGGTAAGGTTGTTGTAAAAAAGATTGTTATAGCGGAGAATCCAGCAGACATGATGACCAAGCATGTTCATTTGGAGAATAGCATGGATGATGAACACTATAACTTGGCCGTTAGGACGTTAGGAGAATAGCATAGATGATAAACACTATAACTTGGCTTCGAACGTCAAGCCAATGTGGATAATTGTTAAATATATATTTCAAGTTTGAACTTATTTATGGAATCTGATCCGATTGGGGGATGTATATCGGAATTCTTAATCGAATATTTATTGGAGTCTGGCCAGCAGCGTTCAACCAAGATAAGAGTTGTTAATTTGCTTTATCTATTTTCTTTTGGAACAATGGCAAATTCGTGAATAACCTTATTTGACCAAGGTAAATACTTGGATTTCTCTTATTACTGAGAAGGAAGAGCGAAGGCTTTTGACCATACAAAGAAAAAGAAAGCAAGTGGGGGCCAAGGGGGTTTTCTTGGCTTAGCCCTAGGTCGTCCTTTCCTTGAAGCCACAGCCACACAGTGAAGGTAGAGTGGGCTCCTTCAGCGAGAGTTGTCAATGCATGGCAATGGAGGATTTTAAGGATGCCGCACACTGAACTTCTCAAAGCCGTGAGTTCGAGTGTCTTTTTCTTGGTTATGGGCAGAGCTTAAATACCCGGTGTGAAAAACACTCGAATTTATGAGTGATTGTAACTTTTATTTTCCGATTATAGTGAATTATTTACTGCTAACTCTTACCATAAACGTAGATACCGACACTCGGACTAAACCACATGAAACTTTATTATCCTTTATTGTTCATCGTTTATTTATTCGATAATTTCGCGTGTTGACTTGAAAAGCAAGATCCTGTTTAGCTTCCGCCTTAAAATTACAGCAGCAAGAACTAAAACTTGAGCAAGATACAATTATGTTCTTCTGTTTTATTCTTTTACAAGATGATGAGTGTTGACAGTCTAAGCAGGAAGATGAAATGGCCGAACTGTTGGGCTTAAGAAAATTTTGCCTTTCGGCCTGAGACAGGAAATCCATTTCATCTCCCGCCTCAGTCACCAGGCTGAACAAAGAGCCGAAGCCGATCATCTAATCCTAGAACCAGAGCAATGGGAAGCTAAGAGATTAAAGAAGGAAGTAAAAGGAAGAAATACACAGGATTAAACAAACAAATATCGAGGCGTGGATCGACACAAATTGCCAAAAAACAGGGGCGAAAAAAGAAAGTATGAATGAAGGTTAAGTGTCAAGAGTGTTGCAAAATGCGGGTGTAAATGAACTCGTTCCACGTGTCGGGCAACCCCGGGAGGCACCAATGGATGCAATCCGCGTAGGTTTGCGGGTCGGCCTGCTGCTCCGGCGTCAGCATCTTGCCTTGACGGATCGTATGCACCGAGGTGTGCGCGTCTTTCCGGTACTCCGAGAGGGTCGTGACGTTCATGAAATGGGTGTGCACTTTCATGGATCGGGTCACGTTGTTGGCGACGACGAGCAGCCTCCGATCCGTTCCCACGTTCGGCGGGGCGGTCGTGTTCAATACCGGCATCGTCTCCCTGGCACATTTGATGCCATCTGGGTTGTCCCAGTCCAAGCTCCTGTTGCATGTCTCAATAATCAGTAATTGAAAATGACCAAATCGAGGACAAAATGGGCATAACGTTAGCTCAACAATCCAACGCAACATGTAATAGTTAAGCAATGGGGTTGGTAACCCACCAAGGATTGTAAGGCAAGCAATCATTGACAAAATGCTAATAATTCTTACAAGTGAAGGACCCACCGTAACCACCTACACATGCTCACCTAAGACATGTGCATGTATATATGGTAAAAGACAACTTTGGGGAGGTGTGTGTTCATAATTAAGGCTTGGATTTAGTGACTTGTGACTTAACACAATCATATCTGATCACCTAGAACCCACACCCATGGAGATAAAGATTAACAAAAAATATTCTCGAGACAAAGAATAATGAGAGACAATTTGAAAGAAGCGAGTCGACAGTAGATATCGATTCTTAATATATATAGGAAATCGGATTGTGAACCGTCACGAATACTACCCAACTCTCGCTATAAAGATTATAGTGCTAGAAGAATCTCTAGAGAGTCAACAGTGACACATGTGGACAGTCATAGAATACTAATATTGTGAGGACTTGGTTCTTGTTTATCAAGGCCAAATATAAACAAGCTTTTCTGAATGATCGGAAGAACAAGATGTTTCTTTAAGCTCCTCTTTGTGACCAATATGGCATTAACATAATATAGTTTAGCTTAATATTTCCTCAGAGAGACATAATTGGAAAGGGGGAAAGAAATGGGTGGAACTGGAATTAACCAATGGCTGCAAGAGAACAGCAAAACAACATGGATATCGAAATTAGGGTTTGATTTTGACGTGCTTGGGCCTGATTGATTAGAGCCTTACTTGATATGGACAGGGGACATGCTGCTGAAGAAGACCGTGGTATGGTTAGGATCCACATTTTGATCCACCCACTGAGCCCATGTCCTTAGCACTCTCCCGTACGCGACCGGCCTCTCGATCTCGTCGTACTCTGTCGCTCCCTCGTCGAACGACCCCCGACTGTTTTGGTTTCGGAACCGACAGTCGAACAATCAGGCACGAGCAAAACTTCAGAATCAATGCATACACGGAAAAAATGGGTGAAAAGGAAAGGACCAGAACACAGAATTGGGTACATACAGGACTTTCATGGAGAAAGTGTTCATCCACCAGATGTAGGTGTTGAAGATGAGGTAGTCCACGCCCTTCCAGTTGCGGCCGTGCTTGTTTATCGACTCGGGCATGATGATGCGGTTCAGAATGCTGTGCATATTCGGGTCGTCCGAGTTCGATTCGACGAGGAATGGCGCCCAGTAAAACTCGATCGTGGCATTATAGTCCTAGACAATGATAAAAAATGCAACAAGAAGAAAGTCAAAACAAACAATCAATCTGAACTGGCCCACATGATTCCAGCCATGTCCCAAACCCTAATCGAGTACTCCTCCATGTGGTCCATTTTTGGCCGACACTCAAAAGAAGTCTCCAATTTGGCCCTGGAATTTCGGCACAATCCATGCACTGAACCCACAATTTTCCTACCAAATTTCGTGTTCGTTTTGCACTATGATTCTCACTCGGACAGCAAAGGAGTCTTAGGAATTCTCGAATTTATGGTCATATATAAGTTTCATATACCTAGTGATTAATAAAAGGTTGCTTGTGCCCTTTTGCAAGGAGGAGCAGGTGGCCGACCACTTTACGTAAATCAGGAAAGGAAAAGGCACAGCGTTAAGGGTTTCCGAGGGAAAATTACACGCCTCGTGCATCGACGAATATGAACAAAAGAAATTTAAAAATGAAGAGCCCCAGCGTCATCATTTGATCATAGGATAAAATTAAATTTCCCACCGAAAATGTCCACGTAATGATATTTATAAATTAAGTAATGGTTGCACCTGCTCATTGTTTTATTACGAACTAATGAAAAACATGGGCCCGCCCAAAAAATATGCCGTCACTCGAGTCAAGAAAAGACAGCCAAGAAATGGTAAGGAATGCCGCCTAGGTATCTCTCCTTGCGTGTGTTCAAAGGTACGAGTTTTAATTTATATTGCCACGCATGATCTTTCCTTTTTGGAGAATAAACATTGACCGCATTAATGGAAACTGATCAAATATGTTTAAACCCTGTTCTGCGGATGACTTTTCAAGTGAAAAATGAAACCTGAATAGTGTCTGGTTGATTGCGGATACTGGGGAAGGCTTTTTTGTTTATGGCGAAATAGAGAGGAGTTACCTCAATTCTGAAGATGTTGCGAGACCCGGTTTTCCTCAAGCTCTTCCTGCCGTGAGGGACGACGGATTGAGCCAAGCACACCATGGACTCCCACTGGTTTCGGTTCAGCGAGTCGCCCACGAACATGAGCCTCTTGTTCCTCAGCTTCTGAAGCAGCAACCTTGGCTTGAACCTTAAAAAGAAAAAAGCAAGAACACCCCATGAATTGGACTCAGGTTCCAAATCAAGAACAACGAAGAGATCATCAAAGTTTTGAAGGAGTTTACTTACTTGGGCAGAGAGCAGTCTCTGGGTTGCCATCTCCAGCTCTGGTACTTGGAGTCCTTCCTTCCATTCCTCATGCAGGTCACTTGTGCCGTGAGGAACTCACACTCGTCTTCTCCGTACAGAGGGTGTGTGACATTGTCAAAGACCCATTGCCCCGTGAAGAGGTCACACTCTTGTGGTGGCAATTCAACCTCTTCCTCATCCTCTTCAATCACTGCCATTTCGATCTTCTGCTCCTCCTCTTCCTCTTCCTTGTTCGGTGATCTTGATTTTGCATCATCAAGAGCCTCCTGTTTTGTTGATCGAGTGCTCCCGGCCAGAGCCTTCTCTGCATTAAGCTTGTTTGGCTCTGACCCTTCTTGGATTTCCTGATTCTTAGGCCATGAGAATGGGAATTCGGCAATCGACTTCACGTCCTCGTTGTACATGAAGACCCCGAACAGGAACATCGAGAACACGACCACAAAGACAGAGAGGTTGTTGCCCTTCCGGCCTCCCCCACCGCCGACCCCCGCTGCTGCATGCTTCATGGCGGCCATCTCGGACGAGAAGAGCTTCGTCTTACGGCGAGGCGGCTGCATGGAAGAAGGGAAAGTTTGAGTGCTATGGTGAGATTGTGGAGGCGAAGAGAGGAGGAAAAATATAGAGAGACTAAATTGAGCATCATGGGTGGAGAGCAGATGCTTACATCCATTAAGTTTTTTGGTTTATTGAGGTTTGGTGGGAAGGTGTTTTCTTCAACAAGACTTGTTAGGGGTCACCGGCTGATGTAGATTGATGAGTTGTCTTTCTCAGAAAATATTATTCCCCGCCTCCTAATCCACGGCTAACTACTCCATCTTGATCAAACAAGAATCGCCAGAGAGAGAGAGAGAGAGAGAGAGAGAGAGAGAGAGAGAGAGTGGATTCTAAGCTTTGAGCAGTTGGTCCTTTTTACAAGTTTGCTTCTTTGTTGCTGATTTGGACTTTGGACACAAGTAGGAAGGGTTGTGGCTGTGGCTTTGCTGGGTCCTCTTCTGGGCAATTGTTGCTGCTTCTTTATGCCTGTGATATTCTAGGAGAAGCTTCGATTCAATGGTTACAGGTTGTAAGGTTCTAATAACTTATTCGCTGATTGTATATTGAAGATTCTCTCTCCCGTGGAATAAAAAAGTCAACCGTTGTTTCACATGGTATCTATCTTCGTGAGGGTTAGTGGTTCAACGGCTGAGACTTTAGCGCTTGACTCTGAGTCATTTAAGGGTCGTTCATGTGATCATGCGGTGGCTCTACCCAAGTCAGAATGAAACTTCTACAGATCCTTTAGGACTTATCTAGCTGCTTTTGGCTCAGAAGTTACATTTAGAAATCATTTCCTCTAGTTCGTGACAACAAGTGCTGAAAGAAAAATAAGGCTGAACACTTTCATTCATGGGATCACATCCACTTTTCAGTGCGCGATTTGCCGATCGCACTGCTGCTAAAATAAACTGATCATCACAGCAAGTCAACCATAGAAGAGTATAATCATGTGATCCTTAGCTTTACAATTTGCACTTGATCATCTTCGACAGTTCAGAGTGCTTATACTGGACTTATTTGATGAGGGATTCTTGCGGGATCTGGGATCGAACGGATCCGAGTCAAAAGGCACAAATCATTTTGTAGGTTAAATGATGATAGGCTTAATCTTCGCTCAAGTGGGTGTGAGTCAAAAAGTCATCTTGATCAACTTTCGATCTCTCTCCCGACGAAAAAAGCCCCATGTGGGAATTGATCTTTCTTTTTCCTCAACAACTTTGATCATGACTTCGATCCATCGTCCAGCTCTTTCTCTAATCGTCGGCATAATTTTTAAGAGCCAAAGGACAGAGACCAAGCCTAGGACAATTAGTAATAACTTTATGTTTGAGAGAAGTAAAAGCCAAGGAACCTCTTTCTTCAATGTATTGACTACACCAACAATGATGTTGCTGTACTTGCCGGATCACGAACCTATTTTGCCATCTCGCTGGGGCCATTTTTTCCCATCCGACGTGTTAGTTTGATGGGTGCAACATCGCTTTTTTTCCAAGGCAAGGCAACTTACACAGACAAAGTGTGGAGAGTGTTCATGTGCCTTTCTCAGGTTGTCAGTTCACAACAGCAACAGGGAAAGATCATTCTCATATCAGAGTCATTGTTCGGTTTGCCTCTCTCTTTCTCTAGCTTCTGTGCCCCTCTTGTCAAGTTATGTTAATGCAAATATCATCCATACATGTTCCAACCATACGTCATCGCGCTGCATGATTAATTCATGTGGCCAAGATGTGTTGCTTTATCACTTTCGCTTCTCTTGAAAACGAGCTCGATTCTCTTCAGATTTCGTGTACGCAGGGTCCGGCGAAAACGAATCTCATCTCTCTCAGAAGCACTTCTGATGTTTATTTCCCGACATTTTTCGTGTTTAATCATCGTCATCTTTCCGAATAACTACACGCAAAAGTGCGATCGAGGGACAACTAGGAAAAGGAAATCGTCAGCTGGACACACAAAGCTGTCATCTGGTGCACATTGTACGGAAACCATTAAAGAAGAAGCCTGTTAGAACGTGGGATTATATAATCTTTTGTAAGCTGACATATTTTAATTTTCTGTTTGCTATTCTAGGACGAGCAAGTGACTAACCGCTAGTTGACTAGCTATATTCTAAAGTGTCGGTCGCGTTTGTTTGTGTAATCTCCTTCATGTCTGGGTTCCTTCTTCAATCACGTTATAAACCACCAAGCAGGTGCAATTTCCCTTTCACCACGACAGCTACTTCCCACTTTGGCACTACAGATCACGTACACATTCGGGTCAATTGGGTATGGTTGCCACAACGAGGGCCGATCCATCTCCTCATGCAACAAGAAATTACCTAAATTACCACAGGGAATTGCTATGTGAAGTCATCCGCACAGAGAAAGAAAGATTGCATAAACAGAGTACTTTTCTCTGCACTAAAACAGGGAAAAAGCCCGCCTTGTTAAGTAAATGGAGCTAGAAGGTTTTGATGGTCCGAGGCAATTTACAACTTCGTGGGACTATCTCGTCCCGTGCGCACGAGACTAATCAAGATGTTCCCAGGTGACAAGATTGACCCGGTCGAGCTTGGGAAGGAATTGGTAGCGGAGAATGCTTCAAATTTGATGTCGCGCTTGTTCATGTGACGTGTTCAACATGCAGTACGTTGTTATATATGCTCATGGGCCTGAATGTACGGCAGCCCATCGAGAAGACGGACAGAGTTTTGCATGTCCGGCCCAGCCACTCACCTCGCTGTCTGAAATTCTTCAAATCCCAGTTTGAGAATTTATTTTGGGCCTTCGAAAGTAACAAATGTAGATCAAGTTTGAGAATTGTCCACCTCTTCTTAGGGTTTAATTCAGCTCTTTAGTGATCGATCTCTCGAGTGATCACTAGAGCAAGTGATTTCTTGCAGATATAGTTTAATAAAGACCGAGGGACAAAATTACTAGCTAACACTGACTGATAGAAAAAGAAATTATGTTAGTGAGGAGGGTTTTTGGAGCACTATTATAATATAATGTGTTTTCGTCGAAAAATAACACGGGGTATTGAACGTTATGGCTTGAATAATGCGCATGGAGTATCATATTCTCTCAAAGACCAGTAAAAATTATGACCCATATGTTTCTATCTTATGTCACAACTTCTAGTAATATCTACACTCGTTTTCCAAGTATCAACGAGCAGTCTTTCATATAAATTTGGATAGCTCCTCATGCTGCCAATCCAAAATAACCTTCAAAATCATTATGTCTATGTAAGTCAAATTATGATCCTAAAAACTATATGAATTTTAACATGAGATGGTTGTTTATTCTACTCTACTTTTCATCATTTTCAATAGATAATTTGGGGGATTGCGAATTGCAAATTAAAGAGCATTCTCCAGCATCCCTTAACAAGAAAAGGGTTTTCAAGGGGGGCAAACAAACAAATAAATAAAGAGCATGAATGAAGAGATGCATACGATCTCAAGAGTTAGTAGTAATGCGGTATCTGTCGAGCGGGTCTTTGGGCGAAGAAATGACTAGGCGCTCATGATACACCCTCCATGCATAGTCCTCGAACGAGAACAATCTGAACATCACCTTTTCTTTGTCACTTGCATTAATGGTTTCTTCTCCTTCTTCTCCTTCTTCTTGATCAACATCATCTTGGTCATGGACGATGACTTTCTGCAGAGGAAGAAGGGGAGATACTGTGCTTTCCAGAGGAAGGCTCAGGAGCAGCGACATGGTTATGGTGCTTGATGGCTTGCTACTGTTGCCCTCGCCACATGCCACCGGCCTCCCTCTCACCTTCTTCAGCTTCCCATTGCTCCACACCTGCCATTTTTATGTACTTGCATATGGTGAAAATTTGGATTGATCGAGCCGTGATTTTATGCAATATTCGTGTTATTGAGAAGGATCAATCATGTCCCGATAAAGATTAATTGATCAGACGCTTGAAAACCCACGAATAATATCAAATAGTATTGTCCAAAGGAATAACATCGCACTTCACCTTTTTGAGATGTTGATTTTCACGGACGAAGGTCCAAATCAAAGGGGGCCAATTGAGACTTGCCAGCTTAATTAATGTGGAAAAAATCTTATGACAAAATGACGTCACGAATGTGCATTTATATGGTCGGGATTCTTCTCTCTATTCGGACAAATGAAATCGCTACGTACCACCTGCTGATGCACAAAGCTCCAATTATTTTATGATTGTACGAATGCGTGCCAAAAAATTGACAACGCTTGATCGATGGATTGCCAGGAATTTCAAATTCCAGCGTCCATCAAGCAAGAATTCCTCTTCCTCGTGGGGCCTCATTTCTTATTCATTAATCCCACCATCTTGTCAAGCAGCCTCTATCTATCATTCTAATATTGAAGCGTAGGTTTCCTTCTTATCATTATAGCAGGCTATATTTGAACAAAAATCAAGATCATACATTATTGAGAAAAGGGTTTTCCGAAATTTTCCCATAAATAAATCCCCGATATAGAGAAATGACGAACAAAATACGACACGGAATGATATGCTATACTTCATCTTCTCAGCTAATTAAAATGACCCGACCCGTTTTTACCCAGTTCACCTACCCCAAAATTGGCTGGACGATCGAATTAAGTAAATTCTAATCCACTTCAATGAGTCATATTAGTTTGAAGACGGAAAAATCCATCTGCAATGAAAATGAAAGCGATCACGTATAGTTAGGTAGGACTCACCTGAGCAATGTCACCGATTGCAACCATCAAAGAGCCGGCCTCCGGCGACACCGTGACCGTGCCCGAATCCGCCAACAGAGAATATTTCTGGGTCCTGATTTGGTAGCTCAACCCGACTACGAACGGGTAAAACCCGCCCGGCATGACCGCTCTCTGGTGACCCTCGTCGGAGCAGCCCTTCGATATCCACATCAGCGAACAGACCCGGGTCGGATCCGCCTTGACCGGGTTCTCGAACCCGATCGCCCGCGACATCCACTCTATTATCTCACAACCCACTTTCTCCATCGCAAGAGCGAGCTCACGCAGCGATTCTAGCTTCAGCTCGCTTGACTCGGAAGAGCAGGAACACAGCGAATCTAAACAAAACCACTCGCCGAGTCTGTCGTCGTCTTCGTCACGTTCGTATCCGAAAGGCCAGTTCTTCGGGAAGCACAGCTCTTTCTGGTCAAGGGCGAGGTCGAAGAGAGCAAGCGACTCCGACTCTGCCGAGCGAGCGAGTTTCGAAGATATCGGATGACCGGTCATCTGGAAAAACCCCGCAGATGAAGCCGACCAGAGGTTCTCGAAGAAAGAATCGTCCCTCTCATCCGAGTAGGACACGTTCGAGATGGCGGCAGGGGCGGCGGAGTTGGGTTTATTGTTGGTTGTGGTTGGAGAGAGGCGACTGGGGAGAGAGAGAGCGGGCGGGAGGCGGTGGATGAGCCGCGAGAGGAAGTCATCGGCGGCGGCGGCGGCGGAGTCCGTCCCGGCGGCGGCGGGGACAGCCGACGGGGTCGGCGGCGGCGCCGAGGTGGCGCCGTACATGTCCGGGAAGTGGCGGTGCTGCTCGTGAGCCGAAGATGCCATGTTGACGATGATGACAATGAAGGGTTTGAGGTAAGCACAAAATGCGTTGAGAGAGATCAAAAGGCCGATGACTTAAGAGTATGATTTTTATACAGGGTCAATATATAGTGGGGGAGGGGCCTTAATATCGCACGTGTGCAAGAGGCAAAGTTTAATTGTGTTTAGTGAGCCAAAAATTTGATTAGTGGAAAAGTATTTAATTTAGAGAAGCTGTTTAGGGAGGTGATGAGCTGTCTTGAAGAAGGTTGCCAAAATCATGTCACCTGGCAAATATGAGCTTGCGATATTTAGAGTATGGTATTTTTGCCGCACTTAGACCTAGACATGGAAAGAAAGATCCGAAAGCCAGACAACCCAATTTGCTAGGGCATCATATGGATTTAAATGTGAGTTATTTCGATTCATACGTAGCAAGAGTTGTAACGGCAGCTTTGATTTGGACATATAGAACTATATCGATCGTCCCGCGCGAATGTAATTAATTAGGCGCGTGGAATCTATATGAAATCTACCGGTTCTGATTGATATGTATGCGTGACACTAAGAGAAACTAAATTTTTGATGTGTCCAAATCGAGATGTTTATTTTTCGCGATTATTTCAATTAGAGAAACAAATTAATTTCCATTCTTTTTGTGGTTGTGGGAGTGGATCCATCCAACTAGGACCGGGTGAACAGCTCATGCCTTCAAAGGGGGACATAATATACCGAAAATGAAATAAGAGCAACCACACTAATTATTCTAATTTGGGCAATTAAGGCCTGTTTTAGAGCGCCTAATTCCGGAAAAAAGCATAAATTTTACCTTGAGTGACAATTTTGGTCCGAACTTTTTTTTTTGTCTTATAAAAATCACAAACTTTCACTTAAATTCCAAATCTGGCTCGAACAATTTGAAAATTTCACATCACAGGAGCCAGATTTGAGACTCAAGTAAAAGTTGATGCTTTTTATTGAAACAAAAAAGAGTTCGAGCAAGAATTGTCACTCAAAGTAAAGTTTGTGCTTTTTTTTTAGGATTAATACCGCGAAAAACTTTAAACTGGTACACATGTGACAAATTTACCCAAAACTAATTTTTTTATCATAAAAAACCCCAAACCGGTACACCTATGACAAATTTACATAAACTAACTTTTTGACTACCAAAAACCTCAAACTAGTATACTTGTGACAAATTTACCCCTTCGTTAAATTGGATTAATATAACGAAAAATCGCAAAATGGTACACCAATGACATACGGAAGGTAAAACCCCAAACCAGTACACCCGTCAACTGCCACGTGTCATCAAACTCATAAATTTGACAGTAAAATTTAACGGAAACTAACAGAGGGTAAAATTGTTACGGGTGTACCAGTTTGGAGTTTTTCGTAATCAAAAAATTAGTTTCGAATAAATTTTTTACACGTGTACTAGTTTGGAATTTTTCGTAATATTAATTATTTTTTAAATTAGCCCTTGTTTTGAAGTGGCATTGTAGGGTTTTAGTTGTCCGAGGATTAATGTTGTGGTGCGTCTTGGATGGCGTTTGGGACTCTTGTAGGAAGGAATCATATGGACATAGGAAAAAGACCAAATGGAGTACTATAGCACCCTTTTTGCATTTTGGAGTTCGTGTCCCTTTTTATTTTCTAATTTTTTTTTTTGCAATTATCTTGTTCAAATTCCAAAAAATTCCTAGACCTTTTGGCAGATGAAAGTGCCAGCCTCTTGGCCTTGTTGTGGGGGAAGTTGTGCCTCCCGTGGGGGGTGGCAGGTGGGGACTCGGCACGGGTTGGCCATCATCATCGTTCTGACTCGTGTCCCAAAACAAGGAGTGCTGAAATTAGGGAAGAAATTATTAGCATAAGAGCATAATTTAGGGGACGAAATTAATTGCTTAATCTACATAATTCATTAAGGTCGGTCACAGGGCGGAATATGATATAAGACATGATCGTTAATTTTGATTTCTATTATCCTTAACAAAAAATAAATAAAAGGTTCAACATTTTCCTTTGGTGTATTTCAATGGAAGAGGGAGAGAGATAGGTGAATCGTGAGTTCTCAGAGCTTTCTCTTTGTTTGATGTCTTCGGTGGCTTTGGAATGGAGTTGTTAGTACACGACGTGCTACGGATTTTTAGTGTGATATACTCATTTTCGGGATAAGTTAGAGAAGGGATTGCAACATTAGACACTGAAAACATGACACCAATCGCGAAATGGGATTTGCTTACCTGCTTAAATTTCGAGCCTAGAATAATTTATCTAATCTCATTTGGGTTGTTTGGTTTCTATCGATCATTCGGTTTTAATTTTTTCCCTTTTTTCCATATGAAAAACGAGTAAAACTGCCTACTCATGCTTTACAAGATATTCTTTGAATGAATGCCATCCTGACAAATAAGGAGTCGAAATTCTCACCTGGCAAGTCATCTTCGGTTGGAGGTTCCAACTTTTAATCCTAAAATGAATCTTTCTTACTACCAAGGATAAGTGTATTGGAAGTCCTAAAACCTGTCACAAAAGTGCAATCGAGTCATAAAACTTGCAAAAGTGCAATTAAGTCCTAAAACTTGTCACAAAAGTACAATTGAGTCTTAAAACTTTCAAATAGTGCAATCAAATCCAAAAACTTGTTAAATTGATCTAATCAAGTACTTTTGCTTTCGTTGATTGCACTTTTTTAAAGTTTTAAGACTCGATTGTACTTTCGCAACAAGTTTTAGGACTTGATTGCATTTTCGTGACAAGCTTTTACGACTTCCAGTGTACTTGTTCTTACTACCAAAAACGGGCTAATTACAAAAAAAAAAGCACAAACTTTAGTTGGAGTGACAATTTTGGTCCAAACTTTTTTTGCCTCATAAAAAATCACCAACTTTCACCCTTATCCTAAATCTGGCCCTCCGTTGACTTTCTATCTGAAGTCACTCTTGTTTGAGAAAAAAATGTTATGATTGTGAGTTTAGCAGATCTTGTCCATGGCTTCTGTCGACGAGTGGTGGTCTACAACTTCAAATTATGACAAAACGACGAAATCTGACCAAAGATATTCAATCTGGAAATCTTTTTGACTTATTGGCGAAGTGAATGAGATGAACAGTTTCATCGTTATTCTTCAAGTTTTGGTTCTGAAAAGAAAACAATGAATACTGCTTTAAATCCAATTACCAAGCCACGTGGATTTATTGCTGAGGTGAAATAGTTAAGATGGATAACCAATAGTTCTAAGTCAAGGGGGCCAAATTTGAGATTTAAGTAAAAGTTGGTGATTTTTTACGAGATAAAAAAAAGTTGGGGCCAGAATTGTTATTCAATCTAAAGTTGGTGCTTTTTTACAAGACAAAAAAAGTTGGGAGTCAAAATTATCATTCGACCTAAAGTTGATGTTTTTTTATGAGATAAAAAAAATTTGGGGCCATAATTGTTATTCGACCTAAAATCGGTGCTTTTTTTTTTGGAATTAGGCCTACCAAAAACAAATCGCGACATGCATTAAAACACACGGTGATTTCCCTTCCAAAGTTAATCCGGACAAACCTATGGACCGGTTTTGCGTTTCATCGATTTAATCAAAGGCCACTTCAAAGTTGCAATGCCCGTATATCAATTCAAAATTCTCAATGACAAACCTAAAAATTCCAGACCAGCCGAATATACTTTGCTTACTCAGGAAAAAATGCCTTAAAATATCCACAAAAAAAAAAAGAGAAAGACGAATTAGTCAATGTTCAGCTCAAAAAGTCTACAAATCAACCGTCTCGATCAGAGAGAGGGAGGGGCTGGCAAAACCACCGTCGTCAAAATTCTCCCATCAGATGATCACCGATCGTAATCATCCGCGCCTGCGCACCTTGGGCGAAAACGGATTTTCTCCAGCTTCGAATTGAGCAAAACGGAAAAGCCAGACCTTTTTGGCCCTCGTTCTTCCGGCGATTCGCAGGGGAGGGGGGCGGCGACGGAGCTCTGATTCGCCATGTTCGCCAAGCGGTTGTTGCAGAAGGCCGCGCAGCAGCTTCAGCAGCAGCAGCAGCAGCTGCATCAGCAGCTGCACCAGCAGCATCGGCGCCGCAGCGATCACGGAGAAGAAGAGCCAGAGACGCAAGCTCCTCAGGTTCTCCCCCTTATCGCATTTCTCTCTTTGCTCGTATTGTCGACCCGTCTGGGTTGTTTGTTGATTGGAATTTTTGTCATTGCTGAATGGCGGAATTCCGGGTTCCATGTTTGTTCCCCGAGGTTTTGTCGTGCATGGGCAGCTCGTTTTTTTTCCTCATTTCATCAATCGACCAGGACGAATTTGAAAGGAAACTCGCAATCGGATGATAATTTGATTGGTTTTGGGTAAACAGCATTGTCCGGTTAGCTGAGAATTACAGGAGTATCGATCCCCTGGAGATGGCGCGGACACAAAATGCTGAATTTGACCGAGAACTTTGTTAGTGGAAATGTCATTAAAATGATACGTGAAGGCAATGGAGAATGAGCATGTATCGATGAGTTTGATGTTTTTCCATCGAAAAGTCAACTGTTTGACGCCCCTGCAAGGCTTGGACTTGGGCCACCTGTGCCCGTTTGGCCAGATGCCGCGGCAAAATGGCAATGGCGAGGTCGCTAATGCTGAGTTCTTGAAAGATCCTTGTTATGGCTGCTTATTCGGACCTCATAAAGTGAGGAGATTCCATGACAATGTCACAAAGTCGTGCGGGTGGTGTCGATTTCAGAAGAGAAAATGTTAGATGGGTGAATTTACCTTGTTGAAGATAATCGAGTTTGTGTGTTCTTGTTCCATAAACCAGGCAGCTAGGAGGGCATTTGAGCTTTTTTGGATCTGAGAGAGTTTGTACTTAGATGGAGTTCGAGGAAATTTGACCTTTCCCATAGGCTTGAGATAAATTGCAAAGTCATCTCACTATGCAGACAAAACCGTTCCTTAGGTGGATTTGCCATTAAGAGTATTAAAAAAGGTGTTTCCTTTAGAGGATAAGTTCTGGCATTCAAAATGCCACATGCATATGCCATCTGGAGTTCATCATAGAATTCTTTGATCGTTAAATTTTAAGTTCGTCTACAATTCTTCCGGCAATTTTTCCACATCTGAATCGTCGTTCAGTTCGTATCCCGTGGATAAGGGATATATTAGGAGTAGCATGTAAAGATTCTTGTCTGTTCTAATCTTCTATGTGGAAATCTGATCAGTCTTTTCCATTACTGCTTTCCCTTTTGCAGATTAATGTGCCACTCGGAGGCTTGACATCTATGGATTTGGATCCTCGTGTTACAGTTCACTATGGCATTCCTTCTACTTCATCTATTATGGCTCTCGATCCCATTCAGAGCCTTTTGGCAATAGGAACTTTGTGAGTTGGATGTCCTGTTGACTACGTAAATGAATCTCAAGGCGAGATGAAACTGTGTTTATCTTTTATTTGTTCTGTCAAAGAATCATTCTGTAATTGTTAATCCTCTGCAAGTGTTTGACCATTGTCCCTCTGCAAAATATTGTGGTCGTACCCTCAAAGCGCCTATAGCAAAGTAGGCCGCTAGGTCATGCGACTCTACCCACTTTTGACCCTGATTCAATTCATTCAACTGCAGGGATGGTCGGATCAAAGTGATTGGGGGTGATAATATGGAAGCTTTATTTGTATCTGCAAAGCAGTTGCCATTTAAGCACTTAGAGGTCTGTCAATTTTTCTCTGATGGAGTATTTATTATCTTCATTTGCATGTTTACGGCGTTTAGAAGTAACTCTGGTGAAGTACATCATTCTGATGAAGTATAAAAAGATGAAGTTCTGTTATCTCTACAAAATCCATTGCCATTCATTTGCAAAGTTGATTCTTACCAGCTAACATTATTATGTTTTTCAACAGTTCCTGCAAAATCAAGGTTTCCTAGTCAGTATATCCACTGACAACGACATACAGGTTTAAACTCTTAAGTCCACGTGATCTTTTAATTCCAATAAATCAAATTCTTATCTGGTGTTACCTTCTTTCTGATGAATGCCTGTTTGCCTTTCTCTTTTTTCATTTTCTCAGTATAATTGTTGACACTTTTTCAATTTTGTCTTGACTGGCTTAATAGACTGTTGACATTGGCAGGTTTGGGACATAAAGTATAGGAATGTTGCTTGTACTTTACAGTGGGAATCAAATATAACTGCCTTTTCAGTGATTCGGGGGACTGGATACATGTACAAATTACAATCTCTGGAAACATTCCATTATCAGTTATTTTCCTTTATCTAGAGCCTATCAGACCCATGAGATCTGATCTTCTGTTCAGGTATATTGGGGATGAGAACGGTATGGTGTTTGTGCTACAATGTAATGCAGGCCAAAGACAGATTGTTCAACTTCCTTACCTTATTCCAGCAGATTCAGTCGCCGGTAATCTTTCAATACATTCACTTGTAAATGGTCTGACAAATCCATGCTACTTCGTTTCCTACTCAACTTGTCTTTGCATTTCTTTTAGCATCAAACGGAGTTGATGAACTCACTGCATTAGCATTATTTTGAATCTTGGTAGCTTCACATGTATGGACTGTCCAGTTGATCTGGGCCATTTTGGAAACTGATAAGCTCAAGGTTTTGGTTTCTACTTTCTGACATGGACTTTAGCTCAACGATATAAAAGTTTGATTCTTGCATGAAGTAAACTTGAAGTATGTAACTAACCGTTAGACAGTTATGCTGCTTTGTCTAACCTCATCTCATATCGACATGGTGCAAATGGATTGCTAAGATGCCTTTTCCCTTCATATTAAACAGCATTTTCTCCAAATCTGTGTCAAAAGAAAATATCTAGTCTACTGTTTGATGAATGATTTCACTGATACAAAGATAAATATAACTAAGCCTTTTTCTTCATGTAGGGATAGAAACATGGTTTCTGCCATATTATTGTGATTTATGTAGTACTTCCTACTATATATGATTATTGAAAACGGTTGACCTGGCTATGTATATATGGAATTATAGTGACTATTTGTGTTTTGACAATGATGTGTCCCTATAGTTATTTAGCTGTAGTTATTAATTCCAATTTCCTGTCCGGCTTCCAGAAGCAGCTGCAATTTCTGTGCCTCATCATCAGTCTGTTGTGGGGGTTCTTACACAACCTCGTTCCCTAGGAAATAGGTACAATAAAATACACTCTATTCTCCTTATGGTTTTTTTGTTTGATAGCTTAGCTTGATTATATAGTTTGTCCGATGCCATGTAATTTGTTCACTTTCTAAGTCATATCAAAGTCGTCTTGCAAAATGAAAACTCGATGGTGGCCAAATTAATGATTATGGTTTTTAGATTGGTGACTTGTCTTTGGATGATCCTGATGAGAGCACCCATTTTCCCATGGGCCTTTGAAGGTTTACCATTTGTTTAACTTTTTGCTTAAATGAACTTCGTTAAATGACTTCTGGCCTGGAGTGCTTCATTGTGGATGGCCTAATAAACTATGTTTCATTTTCTTTCTGACAATGTCGATCTGAATTTAAAGCAACCAACTTCTAGCTTTTGAGTGCAACTTTGCTACATATGCTGAAGTTAGAAGATTAGGGGATGGTACATTGAGCTGGTGGCTTGGTTTATTTGGAATGTAGGCCCTATGATAGGTAAAAGAACTGGGGATTATTACTCCTGTTGTGCACGGATACCCCTGGACAGGATGACAACTTAGCCAGTACATAAGTTAATGTGATCGTGCATATACTGCAGTACAAATGCTTCAAATTGTTTTATATTCTTTTTTCCATATTTTAACTAGATATTAAGCTAGGTCAACAGCTGAGACTGTTATCTTTCTAAATGAACTGATGGTTACTTTAAGTAGTGGGATGTACGACTGTGTGAGGTTTATACACTGCCCTCTAGCATATGCTGTGTCCCGGGTTAATTAATGCTAATAAAGAGATTGGATTGCTTGCAGGCTGTTAATTGCATATGACAATGGGTTGATTGTACTCTGGGATATTTCTGCAAATCAGGCTGTCTTAGTGAGAGGCCAAAAAGATCTCCAATTGAAAGAGGAAACAGTGATCACCTTGCCAAAAGTAGCAAGAAATGAGCTTTCCGAGGATATCTCTGACAGTGAACAGATGGACAAAGAGATAAGCTCTCTTTGTTGGCTCTCTGCGGATGGGTCTGTTCTGGCTGTTGGTTATGTCGATGGGGATATATTGTTGTGGAACATGTCTACAGCTGTCTCCAGAAATCAGCATGGTGGAAAAGTGTCTAATGATGTTGTTAAGCTTCAGATAGCATCTGGTGACAGAAGACTTCCGGTCATTGTGTTACACTGGTCTGCCAGTAGATCTCGGAATGGTCATGGCGGCCAACTTTTTGTCTATGGCGGTGATGAAATCGGTTCAGAAGAAGTGTTGACGGTCAGCTTTTAATCTATATTGTTGCACCCTTTAATCATCAAGCTTCATAGGAAAATTTGTGTTTGCTATCAACAATTGAGCAACTCACCACAATAGTGTGATTAGGCGAATGATCTATCTCACTACGATGAAATCTTTCCATTTTGCAAAGTAATGGTGGCCACTAAAGTTTAATGTCACTAAAATGGGAAAAGTAAAAAGATTAAAAATTGCCGATTGATTTCTTTTACCACGGCACAGGTTAGTTTTCCTGCTTTCCAGCTGTTTTTTTACCTGTAATAGCTCTTCGGCTGTTTGAAAATGCAAATTTAGTCTATTTTGCTTTTATAATGGGAAATATATGATCAATGCTTAGTGGAAGGTGTCAGTAATACATAGATTGTTGTTTATATAGCACCAATTAACTAGGTCTTATATCATTGTTTCACCGAATTTTGCAGATTCTGAGTCTTAAATGGGCTTCTGGGATTGAAGAAGTGAAATGCATTGGCCGTGTGGACCTCAGGCTTAATGGTTCTTATGCTGATATGGTGTTGTTACCTACTTCAAGTCCAATTGGTGGATTTTACACTGTGTCCCTCATTGTATTAACGAATCCAGGACAACTGCATGTCTATGATGAAGGCTGTCTCTCTGCCTTAATGTCTCAGCAGGACACAAAAGCTACTGTTTCTCCATTGCCATATCCAATGGTCATACCTACTGTGGAACCACAAATGACTGTGAGTCACCTTGGTTTTGTACATGCTGATGGGACGTTTTCTGGAGATTTTTCAAAGGTATGGCTTATTTCTGGCCTCTGTCTGACTCCTCAGTGGTCCGTTATACAGCTTTCATGGAAGTTTTAATATTCTGTCAACAATAATTATCAATCTAGGTCTTCTCCCTTAACTAGATAGTTGCAGCTGCAAAACATCACCTGAAGAACAATGTTCCAACCGGCCATACTGAGTGGCCTTTAACCGGCGGGGTCCCTAGTCGACTTCGCCTTTCAGAAGTGAATCAAGTTGAGAGGATCTATGTAGCAGGTTATCGAGATGGATCGGTTCGAATGTGGGACGCAACATGTCCAACTCTGTCACCGATCTATGTTCTAGATCCGCGGGTATGTGTCTCAATGCAGTATCCCTGAATCACCAACTGTCATTGACTGCTTGCCTTTCTTACTTCCATTACTTTCTCAGCTACTTGCAGTCTAGCCTTTCTGCAAAGGCAATTCTTCATATGACGATATCATTTTTTCTTTCTGGGGGATGAGTAAACAGCAATATAATGTATTGTGCAGGTGCAAGATATCATGATTTCGGGTGCAAATGCAGCAGTGTCTGCCATAGATTTTTGCTCAACCACTTTAAGTTTGGCTGTCGGAAATGAGTGCGGTCTTGTAAGAGTTATAAATTAGTTGCATGATGTTTCCACAACCATATGTTAACAGCACACTGAATCTCTTTTCTCCAATTGTGATTGCATAGGTTTTTCTGTACAAGTTGATTAATAGTTCAGAAGAAACAACCCTGCACATTGTGACAGAAACAGAGAATAAAGGTATGATATTAAAGTACTTGTGACTTTTTAAACAGTTTGGATCTATGCGAACGCTTGGAATGTTTCTTAAAGAAAGTGTCATGACTAGACACTAAATAAAGGAGCCATGGATTTTGGAGGTGTATGAAACAGGTTGAAGGAACCATGCAGCAAATTTTTTTACCCTTTTGTGAAGGCACCAAGCAATTAGATTTGGTCTGGAAGCGTCCCAAAGACATTTCAACATTTTTCCTGCCCCGAGATTAGCAAAAGTTGGTGATGGGGATGCATGACCTTCCTGATAAGAATTTTCTCAAAAGGCACAATGGCCATCCCACTTATTGACTATTCTATCGGAGGTTTTGATTCACAACATTATCTATTTTGAAAGATGGAGAGTGCTCTTTGAGAAGTAACTCTCTAGTCTTAACTTATGAAAGCGTGCGATATCTGTGGACTCTAAGTATACATGCCCCTAGTTGGCAGTAGCTGTTTGCTTTTACTGATATCCGTCTAACTGGCTGAGCGAAGGTGCTGGTACTCTTTTGAATGTTATTGTGTGTGTAATGGTCTGCAACTTTCGTGCAGTTCAAAATTTAGTCCAAGAGGATGGGCCACAGTGCATAGCTATATTTTCTTTGCTCAATTCTCCCATTGGCACTCTAAAATTTGGAAATTCTGGAACCAAGCTTGTTGTTGGATCTGAATGTGGCCAGGTGAGGATCATCAATTGAGCCTTTGATGATATTGTCATCTTTTACGTCCATTGGGTTCAATCTTTGACTTTTCCATCTTGGTTTCCAGGTGGCAGTGTTTGATGCTAGTACTATGTCAGTTCTGTATGTCACGGACAGGGCATCAGACTCAAGTTCCCCAGTCATTTCTCTAGTTGTGAGTTCGTTTGCAGAATGTAGCAATTTGGTAAATGGTCCAAGTGAATCTGAATGCGGAGGTCTAAGAAATCCTGAAGAGCCACCAATATTCATATTGACTAAAAATGCCCATGTTGCAATCTTGGATAGTTCCAACGGTGATATCATCGGCTCTCAGTCCTTCCACTCTGGAAATAACCACACTGCTATATCTCTGCATATAATAGGCAAGAATTTTCATTTGTGAAGAGGATTAACTTTTGGCAATTCTTTAGTGGCAATTTTTTTTAAGTTGTTTCAACTTTGAACGCAGAAAGCAGTGATCTTGTTTCTGAGGTCTCTCTTGACTCTCATCCGGTGAACTTGTCAGAGGAAGGTGAAGCCAAAGAGGGAAATGCCGGTTCTAAGTTTGACCAGGGAAGTAATCCCCTAATATCTGAATCAGCGGCCTGCTCTCAAGCTACCCCTCTTGGACTGGGACCAAAATTGTTTGTTTTACTCTGCTGTGAAGATATGATAAGCTTACATCCTTTGACATCTGCTACTGAGGTGCAATCGTTTTTTAAGTTATCGTCACCTCCTGTAATGCTCTTTAATGTGAAAGTTTGTTAACTGGCTGTCTTGCAGATTGACAATAACTTCATTCAACAAGTCAACCTCGTAAAACCATGTTGTTGGACAACAGTCCTGAAAATAGATGAGAAGGATTCTGGATTAGTAATAGTTTATCAGACTGGAGACATTGAAATAAGGTAAGGTGACTATTTGTATTCCTCCCTTCATATTACTGCTTGGGAATCCGCTGTAAGGTGGACAATCTTGACCAGAAGTAGTGGTTGCTGAGTTATGAATTGCTTTGCCTCCATATAGTTTCTATTTGGTAGTATGTTTTGACAAAGAATCTCCAGTGATGAGAATTTTCTGATGGAAATGATCATTTATGGACAGGTCTTTGTTAACTTTGGAAGTGGTGGCAGAAAGCTCTTTGATGTCCATTCTGAGGTGGAACTTTAAGACCAACATGGATAAAATGATGTCCCCCTGTGGCAATGGGAAAATTGCCCTGGTCAGTTCTTTTCTGGAGTTTAGAATATGACTTGCTAATTCTCTTTTACTATCAGTACCAGGTACAGAATTATGATAATTCTTCACCTAGATCCTTTGAAAGAGGAGAAAGAATTCATCATCATCGGAACTCTCATTTCTATCTTCAACAAGATCTGAATATAATACACACTGAGATCTTTTATTGAACCGGAGTATGGACCTTTAAAAATTTGTTAGAGCTACTTTTCCAATCGTAAAATGGACATTTATAGATGGTGAGATGTTTTCAAGGGAAAGCTTAAGGTGAAGAAACTTTTCATGATTTATCCCAGGAATCTGATCAATCCTATCTAGGTACCACACAATGACAAACAACCTTAGATGGAGTAAGCGGATGCTTCAAAAGGAAGAAGTAGCTTTGAAATGATCTTGATGGTTCTTCGCTCATGATGACATTTTTCTTTTTTCTAGGTCAACGGTTGTGAGTTTGCATTCATATCTTTATCAGCCCATGAAAATGACTGGAGGTCTCTCTCTCTCTCTCTCTCTCTCTCTCTCTCTCTTGCACAGAGGTGTGGATGTGTGCACCCACTTAAGTTTTTAGTTTGTGACTTGGGGATCACAGAAATCAATCTGTATTACAATCTGACGTACACAATCTCCTTCTGTACAATTCCGAACTTAAATTCCAAAACGAACTCATTGGATGAGAGTAAGCATTCTTGTGATCTTGTAGGATTCCTGATTCCTTGCCTTGCCTCCATGACGAAGTCGTCGCAGCTGCTGTAGGTGCAAGCACAAATTTGTCTCCAAATGAGAAGAAACTGCAGGTTGCCTTTATTTTATTTCTCTGTTGCCTAAAAAATGAATACATCTGAATCTAAGAACTATAGCTGCAGGAAACTGCCGGTCAGGGGGCTTCTGGCGGAATCATCAAGGGCTTCAAAGCGGGTGAAGTTGACGATAATTCGTATTTTAGTGAAGCGGGTTCAAATAATCCTTCGCTTCTCGAAAGCATATTTTCTGAGCCTCTAATGTTGAAGACTTCCATTCCAAATCCAACCGATCATGATGAAGTCATTGAGCTTAGTATAGGTCACAGATCTCACTTTCACCTCATTCCTAGCTCGATTTACCTTTCTTTGCCTCTCCTCCTTGACATTCAACTTATTATTGCAGATGATATTGAAATTGATGAACCTGTGACTGTCTCATCATCATCTCATCAAACCAAGCATGATGAAAGTGGTAGAACATAATTTCTTTAAGCTACAATAGTTCTATGTATTTGAAGGCAGTTTTTATAGTACCATTTTTGCTTTGCAGAAAGAAAGGGGGAGAGGGAAAGATTATTTGAGGGTGCTAGTACTGATACAAACCCAAGACCCAGAACTCGTGAAGAAATTATTGCCAAATATAGGAAAACAGGGGTAAATTGATTTGAGTTGGCGGTCTAGATTATCTCAATCCTCTTATACTTTACATAACTTACAGTGGGTGTATTTCAGGATGCCTCTTCAGCAGCATCACAAGCTCGGGATAAACTTGTCCAACGCCAAGAGAAACTTGAGGTAGGATCTTTTTTTCTTTCTTTTCGTGTCTATATTCATAAATTGGATAAATCCCTTTTGAGAAGCAATTTAAGGTTGAGGAGACCTATTATTTTTCATTTTGAAACATATAGTATTTGAGGAGGAACTTTTGTTTGCTCTCTCTATCCCTTTCTCCCGCTAATCCGCGCCCCCCCCCTTTTGAGCTTTCACCTATAATCCTCCACCCTGCATGTTGATAACTGTAGGTGTGAATGATTATTGCTAAATTAGCCATCTACTTTTTCTTAAACGTTTAGGGACAAGTGATTCTCGCTGTTTAACTTTTCAGATGTGGTTGTCCCAGGATGCATAATGATGTTGTTTTCGCACGAAGGATCCTAAGTATACTGTAGAAGAGTGTAGAATAATCCTAGATCACCTTGAAAACTGTTAAAAGCTTAATGGGCCAAAGAGTAGATAGTGGAATGTTGAATTGGAGAATTGTCAATGGAACAGTTAAAATACTTAGAGGATTTGGTTTTGAGTTGGCTTCAGAATCAAATTTTCTCGTCACCCGTCTCTGCAATACATTCCTCTAGACAGAGTCCTTATATATGGTAGGAGTCTTTTACCTTTGGAACGGATGTGACTTTGTCGCCATCTTTAACAGAGGATTAGCAGACGAACTGAAGAGCTGCAGAGTGGAGCTGAAGACTTTGCCTCCATGGCGAGTGAACTCGCAAAGAGAATGGAAAACCGCAAATGGTGGAATATGTTCTAAATGGCGGAGTATTAATTTTTGTTTTGCACCAACCGATACCTACTGCAATCTTAGTTGTCCTGGACTTTTTTTTTTTTTATAGCCAGCACGTGCGAAGCCGTATTGTTTATAGGCACTACAGTTTCCCTCCATGCATGTACAGTATAAGAACACAAACAGGGGGAAACGGGGAATAACTTTGGTTAAAGTATGTCATTTATGAAATCCTTGCATCAATAAAAAAAGAGGATACCTATGGCCAGATGCCGTTAAATTTTGTCCGTCTCTGACTTTTGCATCCTGAGTTATGTGGCTCACCCCTCACAAAACAAGAGTTTAAGCTCTGTTTTTATTTTTCTTTCTCTGAGTGCGGATTAGGGAAAATTGAGATGGTAACAGTTGAGTTTTATGCATCCATCGATCTATTGCAAGGACTTATTCAGTATGACTGAGCATTTCTAATCCTTGTTCTGTGAAGAATGGTTGAATTTCCTTCTGTCTTGGTTAAATTGGTGCAGAGATCCAGTTGTTTGCTGGTATAATCTGTATAGGTGATGTTCACAGTGTCATCACAGAAGTTGATTGAGCATATAAGCTCCGTTTATTTCGCAGAAAATATTTGAAAATTATTTTCCAAAAAATGATGGCTTATGTCTCTTGAAACGATTGGTCAATGAAAATTTTTTCATTACCCACAACTTAGGTCTATGCATTTTTCATTATTTTCCGTTCATTAATTTCTGTGAGCATTTGTCGGAGGATCTCCATGGCGTGTTCCCAAGTATGAACACCCAAAAACTTATTGATCAGGGACATGAATTCGTCTTACTTTCTCCGACCACAGAATGTGAGAAACGTGTCCCTGTTTCATACCGCGTTTGACTTTTCAAAGAGTCTGTTGTGGTGGACTAGGAATGAATTTCAACTTTATGACTTGTTTTGATGACAGGTTAGGTTCCGTCCTACTTTTCGTCCACGAGCCTAATCTTTTCGTGCTTCTCTGCGCTCTTCGCGTTTCATTTTTCAATGCATAGAACTCTTGCCTGAGAGATGTGGTGTGAGCAAAGTGAATAGATTATTGTGTTTCTTAATGACGAATACAGTATATGATGACGAACAGTGGCGTCGAATTGACTTTGTATAATTTAAATGGATTTCTTGTATTGGAAAGTTGATGAATTGATTAATTGTGAAACCTGCTACAGGACAAAAGATATATCAGTACATTGTTACGAATCAACAATATTTTGATCATTTTATGGGAAGATATTTCACTCATGGTGGGGCGCAACCGTGACATTTGAACTGCGAAGGATATACGGGAATATCTATGCAGAGAAAACCTTCGATTAGATTAGTGAAGGAAAATTCTCAAACGCAAGAAATTAAAGAAAAATAGTAGAGTCATAAAATATTTCCAATTCACCAAGAAAAATAAAAGGAAGGATCTATTATGATAGTCAAGTTACCCAAAAATATGAATTTTGCATCCATAAAAAAAAACTTACCATCTGTACTGCCCTCTCAATAGCAAAAAAAAAAATCATTAAATCGTGATTCATAACATCTTACATACTCTCCTCGTCGAGAAAAGAGCGCGTCGAATTTCAACACTTCCAAGGGCGGATATTTTCTTGAAGCATGAAGAACTTCCGACTTTATCCGTCATGATTCATCATAAGATTTAGAAATCCTATGCTCTCGAGAGCTTAGTCATGAAGACGATGTTACATACCGCGTGTTAAGACGTAGCCAACGACAATCATTTCGCGAGAGTTGTTGAGTTTGAACAAATTACCAAATCCCAGACAGAAAAGGTCATTGGGATGAAAAAGCATTTCGTTTGAGAATTGCTCTGTTCTGACTCCTCTAACCTATGACTATGACTATGACTATGATGACTATCAATAAGCAAAACTCCCCTCAATATCATGTGCTTTTGAAGTGGCTTCTTGGAATGACCTTGTTTCCATCACGTTGAAAACCCCACCAAAAGGATTTAAGAAAAAACCATATGGCTCCGCATGCAAATCGATGTTGGAAAAGGAGCTCTCAGCAGCTGTATACATCTGACTCGAGACCTTTTCTGCGCGAAGAGAATCCACGAGGCAGGTTTGACCACGTCAGACGCCTCCCCCGCCTTTCACACGCGCGGGGCCCATCCCCAAGAACTAGTGGTCAAAGTGGGATTCTTTCCTTCCCCATTTCTCAGCAGCAGCAGCAGCAGCAGTAGACACCCTCGTAGCAGCCAGTGTGAGAATCGACCCTATACCGACCTCGGCTTCGTTATAACTACGTAGCTGCGGGTGATTTAAAGACGGCCTCGTACCATGTAATTGAGCATCTTGAGATCAGAAGAGACAGAACAGGGCCAGTTGCACACGGAACGCAGGGGGAGAGAGAGAGAGAGAGAGAGAGAGAGGACAAACAACAAGCAGCAAAAATTTTCTGTGCTTTTTAACAAGCTGGTTGTGGAGGAGAGAAGCCCTTGAGTTATCTCCTCATATCCCTTTCTTTTCCTCTAGGTTTAAACCCTTTAACGTTATCTCTCTCTCCGTCCCTCCCTCCCTCCCTCCCACTCTCTCTCTCTGATTTATCAGAGAGAGACCCAGAAAGCAGAAACCAAGCATTCTTTTGCTTCTGGGTCTCCAATGGCAAGCTGGGTGCTATCAGAATGTGGCCTTAAACCCCTCCCCAGGATATATACTAACCCCAGAACTGGCCTCACGTCTAGCAGCACCACAGCTTCTGCCAAAATCAGACCTTTTCAATCATGCAAGAAGCAAACTCTTGGCCTTTCATTGAAGGACTTGAGCGGGTCGAGGGAAAGAAACTGGGCACTGAATGTGAGCACACCAGTGAAACCCATGTCACTTGGTGAGGAAGCACCGGAAGAAAATGGAATCAATGGGCTCAGCGAAGAGCCGGGTCGGTTTGACCCCAGCGCACCTCCCCCTTTCAAATTGGCCGATATCAGAGCAGCCATTCCGAAGCATTGTTGGGTGAAGGACCCGTGGAGGTCAATGAGCTACGTGGTGAGAGATGTAGCGGTGGTTTTTGGTTTGGCTGCTGTTGCTGCTTATTTCAACAATTGGGTTGTTTGGCCTCTCTACTGGTTTGCTCAGGGAACTATGTTCTGGGCTCTCTTCGTTCTCGGCCATGATTGGTAATCATCACAAACACTTTTTCAATTCTTGAATTGTGGAAGAAATCACGATGACTTTGAACAAGAATCTTTTATCTTGAAGCCTTTGTAATGTTCTTTTCAACCCATTGAAATGGGCATCTCTTTGGCAACTCCGATTTAATTGAATCTGTTTGGACATTTCCACGATTACAGAAGATGTTAATTCTGTTTGCTTTGAGAATACTTTGCTGTAAAGTACGTGAATTTCCAGACATCTTGCATTGGGAATTTAGTTTCATATCTGTGTTGTAAAAAGTTTTGTGCTTGTCATGTGCAGTGGTCATGGCAGTTTCTCCAATAATCCGAAGCTAAACAGTGTGCTTGGACATTTGCTTCATTCCTCAATCCTTGTCCCGTATCATGGATGGTCAGTTACTAAAGAATTTCTGACTCATTCTGAACTAAATAGTCGTCCTGCTTCAATAAATTGTCTGATCACCAATTTGGCCTCATCCTCCATGAAAACTGCAGGAGAATTAGCCACAGAACTCACCACCAGAACCATGGACATGTCGAGAACGATGAATCATGGCATCCGGTAATTTAAACATGGGAAATTTCTTCTGTTTCCTGTCATTTTGGTTTCTGTAAATGTATTAACGAGCTTTTTCTTTTAAATCGTCTATTCAGTTGTCAGAGAGGGTATATAAGAGTGTGGATAATATCACCAGATTGCTGAGATTCACCTTGCCATTCCCCATGTTGGCTTACCCTGTCTATCTGGTAAAGCTTTCTTCAGTTTCTGCTAATATTGTGGGGACTAATCATTTGCTGTTTCCTATGATAGTTAATTGGCAGGTTTTGCTAACGTTGTTTGTATGTTGGTGATGATGAAATTGCCAGTGGGGTCGAAGTCCTGGAAAGAAAGGCTCTCATTTCAACCCGAACAGTGACTTGTTTGTCCCGAACGAGAGAAAAGATGTGATCACATCAACTGCTTGTTGGATTGCAATGGTTGCAATCCTTGCATGCCTTTCCTTTGTTATGGGTCCCGTTCAGCTGCTCAAGCTCTATGGTGTTCCTTACTTTGTAAGCTCTCTCTCTCGCTCTCTCTCGCTCTCTCTCTGATTGTGTGTGTTTTCTAAGTGTTTGATGAAATTCTGATCCCGAATTTGGGTGCAGATGTTTGTCGCCTGGTTGGATGTGGTGACTTATTTGCATCACCATGGCCACAATGAGAAATTACCGTGGTACCGTGGCAAGGTAAACTTTCGGATACTCTCTACTTTTTAACCTCCAAAGTAGGAGAGCTGGTAGTGAAGGGATATCATACTCCTTTTTTTCTTTTGGCTAACGCATGATCTTTATAAGCCAATGAATGAAGAGTATGGCCTTTTTGCGATATCATACTCCGTGCCTTTGTGTAAGTTTTTGAAAGTATCTCTATCTTGAAGTAATGTGAGATACGAAAAGTCAGAGTGGGGTCGACTTCGAGCTAATAATGTTTATGTCGTGCTCGATTCATGGTCTTGTGTACTAGAGAGTGAGAGAGATTGATTTTGGTGGTTGATAGACAGTAGATTGAGGTTCATTCGTTGTTATAGATATCATTTGGGAAAAGCTCATAAATTTGTCGTTCTCTGGACCACAGGAATGGAGTTATCTGAGAGGAGGGCTCACAACCCTTGACCGTGATTATGGATGGATCAACAACATCCACCATGACATTGGGACACATGTGGTTCATCACCTCTTCCCTCAGATTCCACACTACCACTTAATAGAAGCAGTGAGTAACTAGTAGTTAATTTTCCTTCTTTTTGGCTAAATCATTAATCACTTGTGAGTAAGAATTTTATTTTCTGAGTTGTTATTCCACTTCCATTGCAAGATAATCTCTGATATTTTGGCTCATTCATTTGCAGACTGAAGCAGCTAAGCCAGTGCTTGGCAAGTACTACAGAGAACCAAAGAAATCTGGGCCTCTCCCACTTCACTTGCTCAGGGTCCTCACAAAGAGCATGAAGGAGGACCACTATGTGAGTGATTCTGGAGATATTGTGTACTACCAAGCAGACCCTAAGCGCAGTGGGTCTAACTCAAATATCTGAGGATGAAGATGAA